TTGCATTGGAGTTAGATCTAGGACCCACTGCCAGTGACCTCACATACTATCCCAGTCACACCATTGTCACTTATATTAAGGGAGTCTAGTTAGATCGTATGCAGGTTCCCCATTTGTCAGACCTGAGTCAGTGATCTCTCACTAGCTGGGGTCAGCTGGTTCTGTGGTTTCCCCATCATGGTCTTAACTCCTTTGTTCATGTTATCACTCCTCCCTCACTTCGATTGTACTCCAGGAGATTATGCCCGTTTTTTATGTGAGAAAAGTAAATCTCAGTATAAAACACAAAACCATACTTTCTGTCAACAAACACCCCTTATTCATTTGCACATTTTGAACAAAAATATGTATTGGTTGCTAGAGAGACAAAAGATTGTTAGTTTCATATGCTCTCATGTTGTTTCACTGATTTCATTAAAACTATCTGTTGTTTTGTAGAGTTTCTTTTAGTTATGCATATGTTTGTGTGCCTGTGTGTGGGTTTGTGCACATGAGTGCACATGCCCACAGGGACAAGAAGGCATGAGAACGAACCTGGGCCCTCCAGAGTGGTGCACACTCTTAACCGCTGAGCCATCTCTCCAGCCCACATTTTTGTTTTTGAATAAGAAATTTACAAAGTGGGGCTGGAGAGATGGCTCAGAGGTTAAGAGCACTGACTGCTTGCGCTTCCAGAGGTCCCGAGTTCAGTAGCCAGTAACCACATGGTGGCTCACAACCATCTGTAATGAGATCTGGTGCCCTCTTCTGGCTTACAGGAAATTCAGGCAGAGCACTGTACATGTAATAAGTAAATATAAACCTTTAAAACATAAATGAAAATTAAAAAGAAATTAAACCAGTTTTCTTTCTTTTGTTTTGTTTGCTGAGATGGGGTTTTGCTCTATATTTCAGGGTGCCCTTAAATTTCACTTTGTGGCCCAGGCAGCCTTCAACGTGTAGTGATCTTCCTGCTCAAGCCTCCCAAATGCTGGGATTACAGCCTGAACCAGCATGCCTGGATTATGAAAACAACACTGAGGTCTGGAGATGCGGCTCAGTGATGAAGAACACTCACTGTTCCTCCAGAGGAACCAGGTTTGATTCTCAGAGGCCACCTCAGGCAGCTCACAATCATTCATAACTCCCGTTCCAAGGGATCTGACACCTGCTCCTGCTCTTTGCATACATCCTTAAGTGTGTGGCATATACTCAGGCAGACAGATACACATACACACACACTCACGAAATAAATCTTAAATTGTGTTCAGAGTCAAATGATAAAAAATGGAAGCACCTCTAACACCCTCCAGTTGAATGGCCAAGTACACTGCAGCACACTCATGGAGGGGTGACCACGTGGCCATATAAAGGAATAGACCACTAACACAGACAAAGAATAGACCACTAACACAGACAAAGAATAGACCCCTAATACTGACAAGGAATAGACCACTAATGCAGAGGGGAATAGACCACTAACACAGACAAGGAATAGACCACTAATACTGACAAGGAATAGACCACTAATACAGACAAGGAATAGACCACTAATACAGACAAGGAATAGACCACTAATACAGACAAGGAATAGACCACTAATACTGACAAGGAATAGACCACTAACACAGACAAAGAATAGACCACTAATACTGACAAGGAATAGACCACTAATGCAGAGGGGAATAGACTACTAACACAGACAAGGAATAGACCACTAATACAGACAAGGAATAGACCACTAATACAGACAAGGAATAGACCACTAATGCAGACAAGGAATAGACCACTAATACAGACAAGGAATAGACCACTAATACAGGCAAGGAATAAACCACTAATGCAGGCAAGGAATAAACCACTAATACAGACAAGGAATAGACCACTAATGCAGACAAGGAATAGACCACTAATACAGACAAGGAATAGACCACTAATACAGACAAGGAATAGACCACTAATACAGACAAGGAATAGACCACTAATACAGACAAGGAATAGACCACTAATACAGGCAAGGAATAGACCACTAATATAGACAAGGAATAGACCACTAATACAGACAAGGAATAGACCACTAATACAGGCAAGGAATAGACCACTAATGCAGGCAAGGAATAGACCACTAATACAGATAACAACTTGCTTGGACTTCAATGGACTAACACTAGATGAAAAAGTCAATTTTAAAAAGTTATACTACTATTCAGTACAATTCCATTTTGTTCTTTCCTCCCAACTCTTGGCAGGGCCTCCTGCAACCAGACTAGCTTTAAACTCAGTACACAGCCAAGGATGACCTTGAGCGCCTGACCCTCCTCCACCTCCCAACTCTTAGGATTTAAAGTACTACCAAGCTTGGGCCATTTTAGAATGTCCCTGAACTAATGTTATCAATGCTCCAGATGTCCTGATAGGGCAGAGGGTGACTGTGGCTTGTTTATGTGAGTGTGCTTTCTCTATACCCTTTTCGATTTGTGAAAATACAAAAAACAAAAAAAAAAACCCAAAACCCTACAAATGAAAAATCATATAGGGTTTGGATAGAAAGGAGAGAACTAATGAAATTTAAATATTTCTGTAATTAGTATAAAAGTCTGAAATGGAGTAGTCCTGTGAGAGACTAAGCCGTCTTTAGGATCTAAAGTGAACCAAAGGCTACCTACCTGGCATTTGCACAAGGCCTACACATGTTGGACACAAAGTGTACTGTGTCAGCAGTCCAAATGGGCATTAGCTAGCTGCTTGTCCTAGACAAGGAGAGGAGGAAGCAATGGTGAGGGCTGGATGCTGACACCACTCCAAACAGGCAGGGTGGGCTGGAGGGTCCCTAGCTTGAAGGGCAAGTAGGTAGGAGGACCCAGCAGCAGCTTCTGAGTCCGGGAAGGATGGAGACTCCAGATAAAGCCCAGACTCCCTGGCGCAGGGTTCTGACGCTTGTCTCTCCCCAGCCCTGCTTATCAGCTTCAGTCCGTGTTCCACTGATAAGCAACTGCACGTGCAGCTGTCCTGTGCTGTGTGTCCTATCTGCCCTTGGCAAAGTCCTTCGTGGGCCCTTGGACTCTTCCCTACTGAAAACACCTACCCTTCAGAGGAGCTCAGTCACACCCTCTCGATGCCCTCAGCTCTTAGTTATTCCTTTCTTCCCTGGAGGCCAGAGCACAAGGTACAGACACTCTTACATAAACACACCTCCTACTAGACCCCCCTCTAGCGGGGCTCACAGTGGCGCGACTCAGCTTTCATAGTGCCCACCGTACATAAATACTTGATAAATAAAGCTAGGCCCTCTGAGATTTAAGAAGAAAACCAACAACACAGTGATGTGTCAACACAAACTTGCCAATGCATAGAATAGCAACGGAACAGGTTTATTTCTGATTCTTAGAAGAACACCAGATTCTAAGCCTGTGGAAAAGTGTGTTTTGTCCCCTGGGATCTATCCTTGGAGAATGGGTGTGACACCTGCTGCCTCTAGCTTTGAGGATGGAATAAAAAAGGTGACCAACAAGTAGTGGGTGTGTGAGTTACAGCTCTATTTCCCAAATTATTGTTCCAGAGATACTGAAACTAATTCTTAATGTATTCTGTTGCTTAGATGATTTCCCTAACCCCTTACCTACAGGTGTCTACACCACATGCATTTTCTGACAGAATGAAATAAGTACGTGTGTGTGCGTGTGTGTGTGTGTGTGTGTGTGTGCGCGCGCGCATACTGGTAAACACTGTGTTTGTGTGTGTTAATACAAGGTCATTTCTCTCCCAAATTATTTCAGTTCCTTTAAATGAAGGTTTGGGGGCCGGAGAGATGGCTCAACGGTTGAGTCTTTGCTTTGTAGTCATGAAGACCCAAGTTAGGACCCCCAAACACACATGTAACAATCAAGGTGTTCCACAAGCACCTGTAATTCTAGCACCAAGAATCCAGATGCTCTCTTCTATTCCACACAACACACACACACACACACACAGACTCATACACACAAATCAAGTAGATCCTTAAAAACATAAATGTTGGTTTTAGTCTGCAAGACTGATGGCCTAATCCATTTATGGGTCTTAAATCATAGTTTCAAACAGTGATACACAACATTCTATTATGGGACATGTAGGTGTGTAGGTGTTTTGTTGTTGTTGGTGGTGGTGTGTGTATTACTGAGGATTGACTGACTCATGACATCATGCATGCTAGGCAAACATTCAATCACTAACTAAGCTATATCCATCAGATCTTGGTTTTTGTTTTTTTACTTGTTTGTCCTTAAGATAGTGTCTCACTATATAAATTAGGCAGCTCAGGATGGTCTCAAACTTGCAACCCTCTTACCTCAGCCTCAACAAAGGGATTATAGACAAGTGCAACCACACGCCAAAGACACAAATTACTTACATCTCCCAAGTTAATCAATTTGGAATCATATAATTTTTTAAATTAATTTTTGGTGTGTGTCTGTGTGTACGTTCACACATCTTAACACGCATGTGGACGTCAGAAAACGACTTTTGTGAGTTAGTTCTCCCATCATGTGGTCCTGGGGATGGAGCTTAGGTTACTCAGCTTAGTGGCAGTCACCTTTCCCCACTGGGCCAGATCACAGGTCCAAGGAATTGAAACTTCTAAGAGAGAGGAATTTCAGTATAGTGGCTTTTTGTTTTGTTTTTATTCTCTTCCCTGGTATATGTACATGTGAAAGCACTGAAAATCCTGAAGGAGGGATTGAGATGAGTTTAAGGGAGTTCAAGTAAAAAGGGCCCCCTGGAGCCCAGCGAGCATGGCCACAGGCAGAGAGAGGCTTTGGTATCTATGCTGAAATGCAATCTCATTTCCCTTTTGCTAGGAGAAATAATTACGAGACTCTTGCGGCTAGGAAGAACCTTAATGTCACATTCTATTTCCTCCCGTCAGATGATCAAGGCAAACAGCATTTCCTTTAGAAGTAACGGGACTAATTCTTGTCCTTTCCAAAACAATTAACTTCAATCAGAAGTACAATGCAAAAGGAACCACTGAGACAGTCAGCTTCCTGTTTCTTCTCTCTCTTAAACAAGTATAACGCTTTATTAGTCCAGGGAAAGCAGATGGAGGAGAAACTGTAAAATATATACATCTTAAGACTCCTTAAGGGGCTGGGAATGTAACTCGGTGGTACAGCTGCTTACTAATATGTGCAAGGCCCCAAGTTCAAGCGCCTGGACCAGGAAAAAGAAGTTTCTAAGTACATCATATATTACACTTCAGTATTACATTTTATAAGGCTTCTGCTCATTAACTCATCAAAGGTACAGCTTCCAAAGTCACAGATGTCAGAGGCTCAGTGTCTTTTGGCTCAGGAGACTTTTGCAGTTGATGTGACCTTTGTACTGGCATCTGGAGAGCCTATTCCTGGTTCAAGGACATCCGAAAGGCTAATGTTGGCTCTGGAAACAGGTGGCCAGTTCTGTTCTCTCCCTCCCTTCGTCCAGCACCATCCACGCCCTGACAGCCATGGAGAAGGAAAGGCAAAGGCCCATGAGGAGCAGATGCTGTGACAGTCTGAGTCATTGGGGATAACCCAGATTCTGGAACTTTCCACCACCAGCAGCAGAAAGCTTTCTCCAGTATTTTACAGAGTCCTTTGGGATTTTGGACACTACCATCACCTCTTCAGAAGGTGCTCTCCAACAGGCAGTGGCAGCCACATCCAGTGGGACATACCTCCTGGGTTCGAAACCATTCCATCATGTGGCTTGTGTGGCCACCATGCCCACAGGTCAGGCAGAAGTTGGATGACCCCCGCACAGCCACATGGCAGATGGCACACTGGAATGTGAAGCCCTTGCAGACGGCACACTGCGTGCCACGGACCTCACTCCGGCAGTGGCTGCAGTACACACCAAACTCTGGAAATGGGTGGAGATTGGCAAGGAAAGAGGCAACGTTAGTTTGGTTCTAGTAAAAGAAGACTGGGCTGTGTCAGGTAGATACCCATCCCCCCAGGATTCTGTCAGGTTCTAGTGGATCAGTGGTTTCTCTTTTCTTTTTTCTTTTCAGGCAGGGTCTTGTGTGGCCCAGGCTGACCTTGAACTCAGGATGTAGCTGATGATCTTGAACTCCTTGCCCTCCTGAGTGCATAAACCACCATGCCCAGTTTTATGTGGTTCTTGGGATGGATCGAACCTGGGGCTTACTATATGACGGGCAAATAACTGAGCTACAACCCAGCTCTGCTCTTTCCATTTTCACGCATGTGAGTGCAGTGTATGTGTGAGTTTGAATACATGTGTGGGTACAAGTGTATATGCAGCTGTGTATGCTGAGGGCAGACGTCAATGTCAGGTGTCTATCTTTCTTCACCCTATTTTTTCAAAACAGTGGCTAGACCAGCTGCCCAGCAAGCAGGGACCCCATCTTTCCCAGTCCCGGTTACAGGGCTACATACAGATGAGTGTCATCACACTGGATTTTTTTTTTTTTTTGGTTTTTTGAGACAGGGTTTCTCTGTGGCTTTGGAGGCTGTCCTGGAACTCGCTTGGTAGTCCAAGCTGGTCTCGAACTCACAGAGATCCGCCTGCCTCTGCCTCCCGAGTGCTGGGATTAAAGGCGTGCGCCACCAACGCCTGGCTCACACTGGATTTTAACTTGCTTATATAGCAGGCGTTTTACTGACTGAGGCATCTCTTCAACCCTCCCCCCACCCCTCCCTCTCTCTTTTCAAGACAAAGTTTCTCTGTGTTGCCCTGGCTGTCCTGGAATTTGCTTTGTAGACAAGGATACCTAGAGATCTGCCTGCTTCTGCCTCCTGAGCTGGGATTAAAAGTGTGCACCACCAGGTCCAGAAGACCAAATTTCTTTTTTAAATGATACAGAACTCCCGCAATCTAGCTATGTCTACTAACTGGTAGCTGTCTTTACTGCTGGAATGAGAGCAGGGGCATAGCCAGCATCCTTTCCCTGAGGTCCTGTGGGAAACTCTGTACTCTGCAAGAGGGTGACTACATCAAAAAACACTTAAATGGTTATACTACTGGCTGAACAGTAAGCTGGCCCATGCCAGGACCCCCACGGCACTGTTCTATATCTCCGTACTAGGACAGGGTTTCCGCCTCCTGAGAGCCCGTGACTTTATCCCTACTCACATGACCTGATGTGCTTCCATTTCTACTTGGTATCCAAGCCTGTATGCCCCTGCTCCTCTGGGACACCTTGGTATGCCAGCCTGTATGCCCCTGCTCCTCTGGGACACCTTTCTGTGTGTCCCATCTGTTCCTCTCAGAACCATGCCCTCACCACCTAACTCTACCCAAATTCTGGCTGTCTACGTTGGCCTTGTGTGAAACACCATTCCTTAAGCCCTAGGGCAACAGAAAAGGTGGGCACCACGTCCCATTATTGCCTTTCTCCTTTTCTCTACTGCCGTCTACCGACTTTCCACAGACACACATGCACGTGGAAGACTTCTAGTTTCAGGATGCCATCTTCACTCCATTTCGCAACAGGATCCTTGGGGTCCCCAAAATCCATCTGCTAGGTTTCTGACACTGTCCTTTCAGCTTTCTCTGGTCCTTTGTCTTCTCTAGTCCCCACCTCTGCCTCTTTGATCTATTTGCCTTTTCTGGTTGCATGTTCTTCTTTGGCCAACCTGGACTAATTTCATGCTCCTATTTGCAAATACACTCAACTCCTTTTCCCTTCCTGAACCCACCCTGACTTAGCCATATACCTGCCCACTGCACATCTGCTCTGGGGAGCTAAGCCATCCTGACGGCTCTGCACTGAAAAGTGTGTGAGCCCAGGCATGGCGTAACCCTGCTTCTCCTCGCTTCCTCACCACCTGGATCTCTGCCACACTCTGCGAATTTCTCCCACGTGCCTTTGCTGTTGTCTGCTGCCAGCTGTCCTCTCCTCCGACCTCCCTGAGCAAACAGAAGCCTTTAAGTGGGGTCTGGGGGACCCTTCATCTGCACTACCACTTCTTCAAATTTCTGGAGGTCAGCGGCGCCTCTCCTTCCTTCTGACAGCAGGACAATTGGACCGGGCAGATGGCTCGGCGGTGTGGAGCACTTGCTGTCTTTCTAAGGACCTGGGTTTGGTCCCCAGCACCCACACGGTGGCTAAACCACACATATACATGCAACAAAACACTCATAAACATAAAAGAAAACAATCTATAAAATTAAAACTATAAAGAAAGAAAATCTTATTTCCTTTCTCTATCTCCATCTTTCTTAAGTTATGCTTAGATACATTGAAATAAAACATGCTTCAATGCTATCTAATTACAGTTAGCCCTCTAGAATTCAGGAGTAAAGGATCTGATAATAGTTCTTAGTATAGACTTTAAGACGTACAGCATGGGGAAACATAAGGACAAGAAGACAATAGCAAACAGTCATATACAGAGTAACCACACCTATAAAACTGCCCCAAATGATGGTCAAGTGTTATGCAAACTGCCTTTTACTGTTTTAAAATAGCTTTGGTTTTCTTATTACATTTATTTGCTTTGGGTATATGTGCATAGGTGCACACACGCCATAGCGTGGATGTGGAGATCAGAGGACAATTTGTGGTTTGGTTCTTTCTGTCCACCATGTAGATCCAGAGAGGGACCAGAACTCAGGTTGTCAAGCTTGGTGGCAAGCATCTTTACACAATAAGCCATCTTGCCTGCTCCTGCCTTTTCTTTTAATGAAAAAGTTTTATTTAGGGGGGCTGGAGAGATGGCTCAATAGTTAAGAGCACTTGTTGCTATTCCAGAGGACCTGAGTTTGGTTCTTAGCACCCAGGTGGAGGCTCACAACCACCTGTAACTCCAGTTTCAGGGGGTCTAATGCCCTCTTCTGGCCTCCATGGGCTCCTACATGTGGTAGACATAAACTCAGGCCGGCATATACACGCAATTTTTTTAATCTTAAAGAAGCAGAATTTTAAAATATAATTAAATAAAAATTAATAATTTATTTAAGGAAATTTATGTGGACAGGTCTGAATCTTTAGGGAAGGAAGTATCCCTAAGAAAACAAACTCATCTTTAGTGCCTCTCCCCACGTCCTGCTGTATTTGTCTCTGTTCTGAACTGACCCTGACCTTGCTATGGAACGCAGGCTGGCCTCAGACTCCTCACGTTCTGCATACTTCGAAGGCACTATACGCACAGCTACACGCTATCACATTTGGCTGAACTGTTGAATTCTGTTTGGTGTCTGCAGATCTAGTGACTCGTACAGACAGAACAGAAAGGAAACTGTTGTCTTAGGAGCCTAGAGGACATTTTTCTTCCAATGCTTGCTGTGCCCTGTGCCCAGGCATCTAGTCCTCCACATTCAGATGGAACGACTCCTTTGTGTACCTCCAGTCACCACTTCCATTAATGTTTTTGTCTGTGAGTCTCTTTCATAACCCTCCAGCTCCCTTTTACAATCCTGTGATATTCTTTTTATTGGTACTAGGATATGCATTAATTCTGCTTTTGTTTGTCAGGTTTTTTTTTTGTTTTTTTTTTAACCATTTGAGGCAGGGTCTCCTGTGGACCAATCTGCTGTCAAACTGATATGCAGCTGAGGCTGGCCTTGAGTTCCTGAACCTCCTGCCTCTACCTCCCAAGTTCTAGGATTACAGGTGTGCATTCCCACACCTGGCAGTAATAATTTTTGACTACCGTTTATCCATATTACACTCTAGGCCCTCTGGACTGTGTGCACACAGGCACGCCACCACCCACATCTATTTCTTTGTGCCGCCTACAGAGTCCTGCATGGTGCTTTAGAGCAGGAGATGTCAACAAGGATTTGGCTGACTGATGACAGACACATCAGTTCCATATCTCCGTGATTCAGATGTTTCCCTAAAAACTAATTTTAGAAGACAAATTGCTCTAGGCTATCATTAATCTCTTCCTGATTTACTCTCCTGTATTTAGATGCTCTGAGAAAAATAATACATTGTCAAAATGGAAATATGTATCTTTGTATCTCTTCAAGCAAGCACACCTAGATATACCTTACTAAAATAACTTTGTTATTTATTGTCTATACTTACAAATGTTGCTCTGGTTTGTTTTTTCAAGTGGAAACTAGAGACACATGTGACATCCAGAGTCAAACAATTTTACGCATTTTATCAAAACCCGAGTAGTCCCTGTCATTCCCTAGAGGAAATCTTACCTACTCATGCCACCCTTCCCTTTCCCCGTCTCACGACTGAAGACTACTTTATAAAGCAAGTCCACACTCACTGCAAGTGAGTCTGTGTCACAAGGACATTCATGTGAAGACAGAGTGTACCTGGAGTCTATTCCACCCCATACGCCCTCCCTTCCCATTTCCTCCCACCCTCTCATTTGTCTCTTAGGCAATTACATTTCTACTGTCACGTCATATACATACATGATTTTATGTACATTAAAATCTACAACCCACAAGTCAGAGACAGCACGTGACACTTGTTTTTTGAAATAGAATTAGCTCACTTAAAAGGATAATCTCCAGTTGCATCATTTTCCTGCAAATGACACAATTTCATTCTTGGTGGCTGAATACAATTCCTTTACCAACGCCTCTGTTGATGGACACACAGGCTGGATCCATAACTTAGCTATTATAAATCATGCTGTAATAAACAATGGTGTTCAAGAAGCTCCATGATATAGTGACTAAAAACAAGAAATGCAGCCATGTGTGGTGGCATACACCTGTAAGCCCAGTACTTGGGAAGCAGAGGCAGGTATATCTCTGTGAGTTCAAGACCAGTCTGGTCTACATAGTGAGTTCCAGGAGAGCCAAAGCTATGTAGAGAGACACAGCATCAACCCCCCCAAACACCCCCTAAATGCCCCCTGCAAAAACAAAAACAAAACAGTAAATGCTTCAGGAGTCTATGTCTTCCTTGGGAAGGGGTCATGCTAACTTTATCTATAGACCTTCCAGTTTTAGTGTCTGTGCTGTCAAGGTGAGCACAAAGCTATTTCGTTTTTGTTCTGTTTTTGTTTTTTTTTTTGTTTTTTTTTTTTGAGACAGGGTTTTTCTATATAGACTCGGCTGGCTGGGAACTCACTATATAGTCCAGGCTGGTCTAGAACTCAGAGACCCATCCACCTCTGCATTCTAAGAGCTGGGATTAGAGATTTGTACCAACATGCCCGACACAAAATTAACTCTTAAGTACCATATTTAAGCACTATCTAGTGGCTTCCCAGAGCAGAAACTCCTTCTCTTCTCCAGTCTCCCCACCACACACAGTACCACCTGGCTCCATCTCCCTAGCTCTGTTTTGGCTAGACCACATTTGGCTCATACATTATTTACCTAAGCAAACATTATTCAAGCCATATTCTATGGCACTTTTTCTTTCTTGCACATTTTGTTTTTCCCAGAATTAGAAACTGTCTCATTCTTTTATTTGCTTAGTTTGCTATGTACTTATCAATAATTCATCTCCAAACTCCCTCAAATGTCTGCATCTTCTATAAATATACTAAACAGTGAAATACATTCAACTTTCTTTTCGACTTTCTCTCCTTGGAGGCAAGGCTCCTGGAGCACCCGTCTTCACTGGTGACAGACCATCTCTAGGTCTGTCACAGCGCATGCTCTCCAACAACACTCTGACTTCTTCAGTCCCTGGACTAAAGCTAGCCAGCTTCTTAGGGCCACTCAAAGTTTACTTCGTACATGGCTGATAACTTGGGTTTAGAATTATAAGTTAGAAATTCTTTTCCTGAAAATTCTGGGGAGTCTGTTACCTAGTTGCCAGGGTCAATCCTCAGAGTTGATGCCATCCACCTTCCTCATCCTTCATATTGGAACTCTTTTCTCTTCTAGGAGCTTCTAGGTCTCCCCTGGGTGCTGGTCTTTCTGCATTCATTATGACAGGTGGACCCACCCAGTCTGCAAATGTGTGTCTCTTCTCTGCAGAACAAGCTTACAGTTTTCTGTTGGGGTCATGACCTGTTCTACAAGCTAGGAGAGGAAACTCTAGCATCCTCCAAGGGCCATCAAACAAGACCAGCTTTTAAATTTCCTCTTTGAGCTTCTTCCAAAGGACCAGGTGCCCCTGATTCCTAAGCCATGGCAGAGTTCTGCCTGTTTTTCTGACTAAAAGTTCAGGGTTTGGTTTGCTCAGGCCTTGCAATAACTTATCCATTCCCCAGATCCCGAGTTTGACTGCCAATTATTACTAATCCTTGTGCAACTAACATCTTGCTTGCTGAGGTCTAAGAGAGAAAGGGAAATATGTGGTCAGTCCACTTCCTCTGCAAGTCTTCCATTTTCTTCCCGTGAGGGAGTCTCTGCTTCACTTCCTCCATGGCACAGTCTGGCTTCTCACTGGTGTCCCATCACAGCTCTCCATCCTCCTCTTGGACGCCACTCTAAGCGCCCATTTTTCTCAAGGTCCAGCTGGACCAGAGTAGGTGATGCTCCCTATAGTCTTTCTTTCCATCCTCAGCCCCCAGATAAATGCACTCTCTTTTTTGTTGTTGTTGTTGTTTTTGTTTTGAGACAAGGTCTCACTACATATCCCCTAGCTGACCTCAAACTCAGAGATTTGATCCCCCTCGTAGTGAGCTTACAGAAAGGTGTGTCACTATGCCTGGATAATACACACACTCTCATAGGCTTACATACTAACTGTAGAGTGAGGATCCCCAAATTACCAGCTGAATACAACCTTTCCCGAGAACCAGATTCCCATCTGACTGACTGTGTGACTTCTCCAGACTGCCCTCCCACACCAGACTGAAATCACACACATATACACATACACACACACACCAGACTGCCATTTCATCACACACACACACCAGACTGCAATCACACACATACACACACACACACACCACAGACTGCAATCACATGCATACACACACACACACCACAAACTGCAATCACACACACATACATACCAGACTGCCATTTCATCACACACACACACACACACCAGACTGCAATCATACACATATACACATACATACACACACCAGACTGCCATCTCTTCACACACACCAGATTGCAATCATACACATATACACATACATACACACACCAGACTGCCATCTCTTCACACACACACAAAGGCACACATGCACACACACCAGACTGCCATCACACACACACATACACACACACACACACACACCCCAGACTGCCATCTCATCACACACACACAAAGGCACACATGCACACACACACACCAGACTGCCATCTCACACATACATGCGCACACGCACACAATCCCAAGCTCCAGTGTTCTGTTTGTTTCTATCTGTGGTCACTGCTATCTCTCAGTACATTAGTTGGAAAACCAGGAATCACCAAAGTTTTCTTTCTCTTCCTCAGTCCTACCTAGTATATTAGCAAATCATACTGAGTCTACTCTTTTTTTAAAGGTTAGTCTTTTCTTTTTACTTCATTTAAAGATTTATTTATTTTATGTATATAACTGCTCTATCTGCATGTGCCAGAAGAGGGCACCAGAGCCCATCATATGGTTGCTGGGAACTGAACTCAGGACCTCTGGAAGAGCAACCAGTGCTCCAAACTGTTGAGTCATCTCTCCAGCTCCTGAGTCTACCCCTCTTTAATAAATACATTTTACTTTATTTATGTGTATGGGTGTTCTGCCTGCATGTATGTTTGCACACCACATGCATGCGTGTGCACTGAGGCCTGAAGAGGGCTTCGGATCCTCCGGGTGGAGCTACAGACCAACGTGGGCCACCTTGTGAGTGCTGGGAACTGGACTCCACTCCTCTAGAACAGTGCTCTAAAGCCCTGGGCCATCTCTCCGGCCACAGTGTAGTTGCCACAGTTCTTAACTGATTAGTTTCCCCCTCTAATTTGCCTTGGGTTCCACTGTGCCTACCACAGTTGATATACTGTAGCTGAATAAAGGAATCATCATCCGCTATGTCTAAGACAGCGCTGTTGTAACAGAAAGAGAATCTTGTGAAACACAAGGTTTTAAGAAGCTTGGAGAAAACCGAAGCTTCAGTCTTCGGCTGTCAACGAGAAGCAAAGCTGTAAACCTTCCAAACCTAAGGCCATCGAGCATAGGCCTTTGCAGACAGCGGCAGGAAAACTAGAGCATCCATCCTCACCAATGCCCTTGTGAGGGTCAGGAGGGCAGGACACAAACTTCAGCACTTCTGCCCGCTTCTCTCTCAGACCCCAGCGGTAGAGGATCTCTCCGTAGCACTTCTTAAAGTCATCGAACTGCTGGGTATTGGCAGGGTCCAGAAGCCTGGATAAACCCAAAAGGTTCCCTGTCAGTTCCTTTAAGAGAAAAGCAAGCTCACTATCTAATGGCATTTAATATTAAACACCACCTCTCAAAGCCTGAGTTTGACTTTGAAGCTGTGAATTCTGCAGCTGCAGTCGGGGAAGGTGGCTGGTTACCTTTTGTTTCTATCATGCTGGTCGCGTTCCCGCTCACGGGGGTCACTGTAGGTTAGACTCCCAAAGCGGAGTTCTTCTGGCGAAGACTCTCCCCAAGGTGAAGACATGTGTTCTGTCTCTCTTCCTGCTACAGAAAAGCAAAAAGAGAAGGAAGGATGGCAGTCAGAGAAGGCACAGGATAGGAAGCCACACACAGCTCCCACCCGCCAGTGTGTGTCCACCCGACTATCTAGAAGCAAAATACCCCAAACTGAAGACTCCGAGGAACGGAACCCTACACTACTATTTCCTAGGTATACCTCTTTGCCCAGGCATTATCACCAAGAGAACCTGGTAATTAAGTGCACATCATAGCTAAGCAAATTATGGCTTAATGATATAGTAGGATGCAATGCAACGATTCGTTATAAAATGCTAAATGACATGAGAGAATGCTCATGATAAAATTAAGAGCAGAACACAACACAGCATAAATCAATAACTACCCACCCATACACACACACAAAGAGAGGGGGAGAGGAAGAAAATGTTCTGAAATGTTAACAGATGTTATTAAGTGAGAGACACGGAGATATCAATCATGACTATGTTTTTTCTGATACTTTCTGTTTGCTCTTCTTTATAGGACATGTAACATACATACATACATACATACACACACATACATACATACATACATTTATATGCATGTTCTCAGGTAGGTGTGTGTGTGTGTGTGTGTGTGTGTGTGTGTGTGTGTGTGTGTAGACAGATCCTCTATGTAGCTCAGGCTAGCCCTTAAACTTCTCAATCCTCTTGCCTTCATTTCCTGAGTGCTGGGATTATTTTCTAAGGTCTTGCTACACTGCCCAAGCTGGCCTCAGATTCCTGAGAAGTTGGGATTACAGGTATACATTACTACACCTGGCTCATGTTCTATTTTTATAATCAAGAAAATTAAGATCATTCTTTAAATAAAAAAAATTTAATCTAGGAATCACAAAGATATTTACCTCATGAAACAAACCCTACAGCCACCTGGTTATGGGGCATTTTAACTCTCTCCACTAAAAAGAGTCATGGGAAGAAATGGATGATGGGAAGTGGCACACGATAATGGAAAAGAGGAGAATGCAGAGGAGGAAGACAAGGGTTGAGTTTTACTGTGAACGTGACAAGTACTATTGCAGCTTTTCAAGCAACTCAGAGTAGCTTAAAACCCTCCCAGACACTAGTGCATTCAACATGCAAGGCCAGGCTAAATGGAAAGAAATGAGAACCAAAGAAAAACATGGAACATGTGCACCAACTGAACCTCCTACTGGGACAGCCGTCACAAAGCCTCAGGAATAGCCAGAGTCCAGTGTGCACTGTGTCATTCCCTCACCAACCTATGTTCCAGCCACCGGTGTTGAACCCTGGGTCTGACATGCTGGAGCAGGACCCCGAGGAGGTAAAGCTGGGCTAGAAGGGAAGAGGAACAGACACCAGCATCCAACACCATCCCATTTCAAAGTTACATCTGAAGGGAAACAGACCTCAAAGGAAGCCAGAAAACCATGAACTTACATATCGACTGTGGGATACCGTGAGGTTAGAAGAACGGTTAGGGAAAGGCCCAAAAGGGTTTGGTAATCCCTGAGGCCGGGATTGGGCTTCAAACACACTGCAGAGCATAGCCAAGGTCTGAACATCACGGAGTTGGCAATAGTGAGCCAATCTGTAAAATACAAGAGGAGAAAAAACAACCCAAGAGGAGGGATGGAGGAAGGACAGTTACCAGCCATAACGTTACTACTGTGGGCTAGGCTAGGGCTTTTTCCATTCTTCCTCTGACCTTGTCAGGAACAGGAGACATCTACAGATCCAAAGTCTCACCCACTATGAGATTGGACCCATTTGCTTTGGCATAAAATATTTCAGAATGTTAGTGACAACCTAGACACCAACCTGAAAGCTTCCAGTTGGCATTCAAGCATGGGCTCTAACACAACACAACTTCTCTAGAACCCAGCAGACTGAGCTAGCATCTGAGAGAGGTGGCTCACACTCTCTCACCCTCCCCAGCTCAAGGAATATTCCCCTGCTTTGAGGTCAGTTTCTATACATGTCTTTCATTTGACCTAATACTGTAAGGAGGCAGTCAGAATATTTTATCACCACAGAATGGCAGGCCATTAACTCTGTTTCCTGGATAAATAAGAATGACAAAGAATACATTTTCCTTAGGTTCTCACTCCCTTTATCTTTCAGGACCACCATGCTATAATGTGAGTTTAGGAATTAAAAAGGACTCTGTCTTGGGGTTTATATAAACTAAGTCCAGCAAGCTTTATAAGCTATGCCTTACAGATGAGGCAATGGGAGCATGGTCAGGTGCCCCAGGTCTGGCCTCAAGCAAAAGAAAAGCAAACCTCAACTTGAAGCAGTGGGTCTCTCTTTTTGGCCTGAAGCCTCACTGTGAGGAATAATGAGTGGCTTACTTTTTTTTTTTAAGATTTTATTTATCACATATACAGTGTTCTGCCTACATACCAGAAGAGGACATCAGATTGAATTGTGGATGGCTGTGAGCCACCATGTGGTTGCTGGGAATTGAACTCAGGACCCCTAGAAGAGCAGTCTGTGCTCTTAACCTCTGAGCCATCTCTCCAGCTGTGAGTGGCTTACTTAATGAAACATTATTTTATATAGTCTGACTTGCTATATTTCGGAGTGGTAAATTGGAACAGAAGTCTGGAACTTTTTTTTTTTTTTTTTTTTTTTTTGGTTTTTTGAGGCAGGGTTTCTCTGCGTGGCTTTGGAGTCTATCCTGGCACTCATTCTGTAGATCAGGCCGGCCTCGAACTCACGGAGATCCACCTGAAATTTGGAACTTTTATGAGCTGTCTAGCAGGGTTCTAGTGTTGGAAGAATGTGAACACCAGCACACAGTTCTATCCCTGTTCCCAGAGGCCAAACTACACAGCACTATGGAGAAACTTACCATATCCAGAGCCCAAAGGCCTGTGCGCCCAGAGGTGTGAGGAATGAGCTAAAGTACTCTGACACACATGGACTCTTAAGGATTTCAAAGTCTCGTGAGTGGAAAGTATTATCTAATGCCTCGTGTTGTCAGAGTTCATTCTGCACAGAGGCTGTTTCCGTGCTGAAAGCAAAGAGCCTCGTTCCCTTTAGTCCTCTGGCCTCTGTACCCCTCACTGAAGCAGCAACATTTAATGTGTTTAGAGACCTAAAACCACTTCACTCATTTTCTCACTTTTAGCCCTCAGAACCTACAGGGACTCCAGCAGCTGTCGCCCAAATGGATGTCGAGCCCAAGGTGTTTCCAAATCTGGGTCAGACTTCGGACCAAGGCAAAGATCTGTAGCTACCGTGGCCAGCGACCAAACCTGGACAGACCAAAGAAAGAGGCTCAAATTCAAACCATTGAAAAGATGAACAGAAACTATAAAGGAGCCCCACCTAGATCCTACAACCTAAAACCTCACCACAGGGTGGCAAAAGCCTGGAGTGCACAATTCTAGGGCCCACCCAGACTGACTGGGTCCAAACTGACATTTTAACAGATCTTCAGTGACTGAGTATACTCTACAGTTAAGAAACATTAGCCTCAGAACTCATTAAAGTCAAACATGTGCCTCAGGCTTGCGATCCCAGCACCTGGGAACCTGAGACTACAGAGATCTAGAGAGGCCAGGCAAGGCGGGGTGAGGTGGGGTAGGGTAAGGCAGGGTGGGGCGAGGCTACACAGTGAGTTCTGCAATAGCCTAGACTACACGGCAAAACCCCATTACTAAACTAAGTAAGAAAAACTTTTCACTAAGCAAACTTCACAGAAATAACACGGTATTAGAATTTCAAGGGGCCATTTTCTTCATTACTTCTGGTCTTTTTGATGCTTCATTGGAGAACTGATTGTCAGACAGCAAACAAGAGCAGTCTACGTCTCACTGAAGACTTGCTCTTTGCTCAAGGAATGAAAAACTTTGCTGCCTCCATTACAAAGGTTTTAGTATACTCTTAAAGCTAAAGAGCAGGTCAAGAACAGAACAACTTTGGCTTTCTTTATATTGACACACAGTCTGATGAACACCACAAACGTCAACCCTCAAGGAGCTTACAATCACCAAACGAATGTCCAGTGTCTGCTAAACCCAAAGCCTTCACTGCCCATCAGAAAGAGCCCCAACCCTTGAGACTCTCAAAAACTGAGTGGTACTTTTGGAAACTCTTTTCTGTTTTATTTGGTTTTGAAAAAGTGATACAATCATTGTACCCACTAACTGGAACACACTATTCTAAACCCAAAAGGAAGACACAAACTTTGGATCAAGCCTATAATTTGAGATGAGCAAGTAGATAAAAATGATGAAAAGAAAACAGTTATGCAAAATCAATGGCAGCACCTGAAAGTGATAAACAAACAAGTATCGCTCCAAGGAGGGGCGCGCAGTGTACACCCACTGCCGTGACAGACAACCCAGGTCAACAGATGCTCAAAGAAGTTAGTGACTTTCTGGGGCAGGATGAGCTGTCTACCTAACAAGTGTCTCCCTAAATACACATCTCCTAAAGCCTTCAACAGAAGGGTGTCCCTGACATTTACTTCTCTGGTAAGTGTGAGAGACACAGAACAGTAAGCACACCTTTATCAAGGGCATGAAGAAAAACAATAACATTCTTCAAGCATTCACTGCCGCTCATGTTACTTCTGTCCTTAAACATTATCAAATTACAATGACAATCACAGAAGAGCAGTGGGAAATGCTTCCGGTTCTCAAAGACTGAAGGTCTGAGATAACCTGCTCAGGTAGTTCTCTAGGACTCCAAAGCAGACTCAGCCTCCCACTATAAATTCCACACTGTTCCTATTACCTCATTTTGTCGTCTTAGTGTTCATAGAGTTTGGGTGGGTGGGGGCTGATGGAAACAGATTTAATTCATGAGTGAGTTTTCCTTTAAAGGGCTTCAGGGAAAGCCTTTTATTACAAGATGAATGGAAATCTTAGGGATGTTTTTAATAAAATGAAAATCAAGGGAAGGCCTTAGCATTGATTCATTTCGTCATAAGGAAAAACACTGAGTTGTTAGGACAACTGCTAACAATTTCCCAAGCTCGGTCTAACCATCACACTAAAGAACAGAATAAAATAAAGATTTTACTTGACTGGTGGTTGCCAAGGGCTGACAGGAAGAAAGGACTAAAAGGCAAGAAGTTTTTTCTATGTGATAAAAATGTACTGAATGGTTCCATTGACAACTGCACACTCTGACAAGACTAGAAATTACCAACTAGTACATTTAAATGAGCAGGCTTCATAGCATGCAGATTGTATCTCAGTAAAAGGGTTCAGAGAGCAATATAAGGGAGCTACAAAGATAATGAAATCTTACCTTCTATAAGTATTGACACATTTTATTTTTTGCTTGTTTGTTTTGTTTTTTGAGACAGGGTTTCTCTGTGGCTTTGGAGGCGGTCCTGGAACTAGTTCTTGTAGACCAGGCTGGTCTCAAACTCACAGATATCCGCCTGCCTCTGCCTCCTGAGTGCTGGGACTAAAGGCGTGCGCCACCAATGCCCGGCTGGCATATTTTATTTCTAAAATTTTTATTAATATTTTTGTGTGAGCATTTTTGCCTGCATGTATATACGTATGCATATCATGCACATGCCTAGTGCCAAAGGAGGTCAGAAAAGGGAGTCTAATTTCCTGGAACTGGAGCTACAAAAGATTGTGAGCCACCATGTGGATGTAGGGAATTGAATCAGGGCCCTCTGTAAAAGCAGCCAGTGCTCTTAACCACTAAGCTATCTCTCCAGCCCCGCAGAGTCATATCTTAAAAACTGAACATCTCTACCTAGAAGAACACTCTGGCAAACCTTCTTATGAAACGATTTTAAAAAAAAATAATTGAGGTAAAATGACAAAAGCACAGATACTCAAATTTAGGCATACAACAATCACTGTGGTACTGAAATAGAAACATACATAGTTTAAGAAAAAAAACACTTAAGGATCTCCCCACTTAGCAGTAATAAGAAAAATATCCAGGGTAAGGATTTAGGAAACTGCTCAGAAACTTCAAAACAGGGGCACACCCTGTAAATGTCACTAACTTCTAAGTATCAAGGCCAGAACGTTACCATCAGGGATTTACAGTACCTGGACGAGATCCTTCCTTCCAACAAGCATGGCAGAGGCTGCATTCTTCTGACACGTCTCCTGAGTATCATTCACATTCAGTCTGAAATTATAGCAAAAACGTTTAAGGAGGGTTCTACCTTAATTTCCCAAGAATTCTTCCTGATTTATTAGACTAGAAAGGGCCTCCTTGGTTGTCACTCAAATCTGACAGGGAGAAAAGGATTAATTAGAACTGGTGCTATCAGGCCATGTTTCCACCTGGATTGGGGGGGGAGATGCTCATCACTTTCAGATGAGGAGGAGGCAATAAGAAAAACACTAATTTCCCACCAGCTTTTCTGTTGAGTTCCCAAGGTTTGGGATTTAAATATATGAAAACTAGCTGTGATGTCCACATAAAAAGTATCATGCTGTAAGTATTGTGAGTATTCAACAAAAGAAAACACTCTGTTATGTGTTCAAGTTCAGGAGGGCTTAGGGGACCTGTAGGCCAGCCTCCACATGCTGATCACTTGGCTCCTAAGGCCCTTCAAAGTAACTGTTTTGAGATGCTTTACATATTGGGTGTGTGTGGTGGTTTTGAATAGGAATGGCTCTCATAGACTCATATGTTTGAATACTTGGTCCATAGAGCATTAGGAGGTGTGGCCTTGTTGAAGGAAGTGTGTCACTGGGGGGTGGGTTTTGAGGTCTCAAAAGTTCAAGCCAGTTCACTTCCTGCTGCCTGCAGATCAAGATGAAGAACCCTCAGCTCCTTCTCCAGCACCATGTCTGCCTGTGTGCCGCCATGCTTCCCATGACAATGGACTCAACCTCTGAAACTGTAAGCCAGTCCGGATTAAATGTTTTCCTTTATAAGAATTGCCAAGGTCCAGTGGTGATGCATGCCTTTAATCCCAACACTTGGGAGGCAGAGACAGGAGGATCTCTGTGAATTCGAGGCCATCCTGATCTACAGACCAAGTTCCAGGACAGGCTCCAAAGCTACAGAGAAACCCTGTCTCAAAAAAACAAAAAACAATACAAAACAACAACAACAACAACAACAAAAAGGGTTACCATGGTTATGGTATATTATTCTTCATGGAATAAACTCTTAACTAAGACAGTATGGAAAGCAGAATTCTCAGATGGTCCCCAGAATTCCTGGGGACTCACTTTCATAATTGTGATATTAAGTACTTAACCTGGAGTCTGCCAAAAGGCAGAATATTTCATGTGGCCTAAGTCAGACAGGACCTTCAAAAAGAGATGTCTATGTGGGCCACTATGCTGGTCTCAAAGATGAATATGCCAAGTGCTCTACAGCTGTCAGGGTCTGAATTCAGCTACCTAAACCGACTTGCTGGACTCTTAGCACTGAGAGAGACCATGGGGGGCCAAGGTCATGCTTTCAGTTAGTTGAGGTCCTGGGCAAGGAAGGCTCACTGAAGCTAGCTAGGTTCCTGACCTACAGAAATAGTGAGGTAATAAATACATACTGTCTGAAGCTGCAACTTGTGTCGATTTGTTAGCCACCAACAAAAATCTAATGCTGTTTCCCCAAAGTGTGCAGATCCTAAGGAGGAGCTCAGCGCACCTATAATCGCAGACTTACATGTACAGCTCTCCCAGTGACTTATGAACAGGAAGGAGGCAGGAAACATCCTGAATGATGACCTTCCCAGCAGCCTTAATGGGTCGATTGCCAGAGTCTGATCCTTCCCGCTTACTTTTCCACCTCCTTGATTTCTAGGGGAGATGACAAGACGTGACTAATGCGGACCCTGGAGAGTGGAAGACTACAGTTGCAGAGTACATCATATTTGGGTCATTGGTAATTTGCAGAGACTTTAAATTACATCATGCCCACAATTACATGAATCAGCATCTGTAGGAAATAAAAGGATAACGAATGGCACAAAGCTCTTGATCCAAAATCCTAGCAGGAAAACGAGCACCTACTGAGGGCTGTTTACAATCTGCAGGTGCTCCAAAAAAGAAAAAAATAGACACCAGGAAGCCAGAATTATTTAATTAATTAATTTTAAAAATAGCAGGTAAAGAAGTTAGTAAAGGCCCCTCACACACAAAATGGGGAGGGGGTGTTTAGGGTGTTCAGTACTGGATTCAAAGTTCTTGCCTGAAACAATTCAAAGTTTTTTCTTCTTAGACAGTTTCAACAGGGTTTGTTGACATTTTAATTCAGACACGATACTGTGGGCTCTACAAACCTTAATATATGAAGACAGAGAAATTTGGCAGCACAAGAATTGCCTTGTTTTGTAGCAGGCCTGAATTATTTCTAAAGGTGATTATTTCTGAAGGTCAAGGATACTTAGTTGGGGAAACTGGGTAATAGACATGGGAGACCATGAGCACATGTTTTAGCTTCCAGAGTTGTCCCATGAGCACGTTTTAGTTCCCAGAGTTGTCCCAGTAAGTGGTTGTGAGGAATCTGTTCATGTGGAATGAGACATGTCCTGGGAAACAAAAAGTAACAGAGTGTAGCCCCATCTGGTATCTTTGAAATGACAACCAGTCACAAGAGCAAATATCCTATTTTATTTCCAAAAGTTAAAAAAAGAGGTCACCAAAGTCTTTCAACTAAGCAAGGGAGCAACACATTTATTAACAAAGAAGGAGCGACTGAAAGGGGCTTTGCAATCTGACATCAGAAAACTAAGGTACTGTGTGTTCTGGCTGAGTATGGCTCTAGGCAATTTAGCACTAGTTAATCATTTGCTGTGGACATAAAGTCTTATTGCATTACTCTTTCCTTGCTTATTGGTAGCCTGTGGCTAACGCTGAGTTCTGTTATCCAATCTCATGAAGTCAGTAAGAGTACAATGACAAGATAGATGCAAACAGCATAAACTTAAAGTTGCAACCTAAAAATTGCAGTTATGTACTATAAATGTACATAAATGGTCAAGAATCATCAATATTCACATTACCCACATATTTACTTTTCCACTAATGACTTTTGTACAATCATTCTTCATGAATCAGTCTAGGTCTAAATCCAGACATTTCTGATCAATGATGTCCCAACCAATGCCCCAGGTGTCCACATTAACTTCTCATCCAATGTCTTGGAACCTACTAAATCAATCCACCTGGATTCCAGGCAGACAAGTAAAGCCAGTTAAATGGGACATCTATGAATTGCTTATCAGAGTTTATCTCTATCAATTTGGATCCACGAACCATTTGATCTTTTCTAAAGATCTGTTACTATTTGTTATTTATCCACACCTCTTGACCCTTCAATGCAGAGGGAACCTTGATCTATGATTATGTGGTTAGTCTGCAGGCTTCTACATGCCCTGATTGCCTGAAGAATAACTATGTCCATACTCCAGTACTACTATCCTTTTAGCCAGCTGGGTTCACATAAGGGAAGGACATGTCAGAGTGGGCTGGAGCCAGGCAGTGCTAGCTGAAATGGAGCAGAAGTCATCACACGAGCACTCAATGCATGACTAGTTGCAGGGAGGGTAACTTAGTGTATGGCTACTGTGCAGAGCAGCCCAAAATGCTGGATTAGCAAAAAACCACATGCCCACAGGACCCTGACCATTGCAAATGAGATCTATGGTGCTGGAATGAAATAAAAAATTGTCAGTATGTGAGGTAGTTCAGTGGTGGAAAATACTTACTGCCAAGCCTGACAACCTGAGTTTGATCCCCAGAACCAATGCAATGAAAGAAGAGCGCTGACTCCTATGGGCTGTCCTCTGACCTTGAACGTGTGACATGTTTACAGATGTGCACATGAGTGCACATACACACATAAATGTAAAGAGTTTCACTTTTAATTTCTATGCCAAAAAAATTCCATCTGAAAGGGAACATGATCCATTTAGTGTATCTTCTGGGTTGGACAGAAGGCTTCTAAAACACTGTAAACATGAAGTCACTGGGGCTCCTCAGTGCAAAGAGAAAACGGTAAGTGCCTGAACAACTTAGCAACTCACCAAAGCTCATTTAAATTATACAACTGAAACAAGGAGGCCTTGTGAAGGGTGGATAGAGCCTGTGAGCTTTTAGAGCACACTGAAAATATTCACTCTTGCCTGACTTTGAAAGCAAACCTAACGAAAGCACATTACTAATTATATGATGGCTCATGTGCCAGGAGCAGCTCATTTGCAAGACGAGCTCATTTGGCAACAGATACTGAAACAAGCACAAATGTCTTTGACTAAGGACTTAAAGACTTTTCTATTGTTGTTTTGTGTGCTCATTCTTGCTTCTGGACTGTTCATGCTGAGCCAGCAGGTGCCTCACTGCAGCTCCATGTTGTAAATGGAAATGTGAACCTTTTACAAGGTCATGGATATGGAGCTGAAATCTAAATAGGCCTGTCAAGCTGCTATGCTTGTGTGTGTGTGTGTGTGTGTGTGTGTGTGTGTGTGTGTGTGTGTGTGGTGTGTATTCATGTGTGTGTGTGTGGTGTGTATTCATGTGTGTGTGTGTGGTGTGTATTCATGTGTGTGTGTGTGGTGTGTATTCATGTGTGTGGAAGCCAGAGGTCAACATCTGGTATCTTCCTCTATTATAATCTATATCTCTAGCTACCTAGCTAGTATCTTTGAGGCAGACTCTCTCACTGAATCTGGGGCTCACAGACTGGGTTAGACTGGCTGGCCAATAGCCTAGAGCTACAGACACCGGCCTGGTCACTGCACCTGGCTTTTATATTGGTGCTAGGGATCTGAACACATGCTTGTGTGGCAGGTGTTTTACCAACTAAGCCACACATCCAGTCCCAGCTAAGCCCACTAGTGCTAACTTGCTTTTCAGTATTGAATGTGATTTTAAGACTCAACAAAGGAAAAAAACTAAGTCCTAATTAAGCTGCCAGTAAATACGTAAACAGTTTGGTCTGTCTTTAAGCAGATCAGTTTCTGTAAATAGATTGATATTTGGTTCTAGTGATGCTGATCCTAAAACATCTTTCTGTAATTACTTTTTCCATTACTTTTCTCTCAACATCATAACTGCATTCTGCTAAATCAGTGTAGTTTGCTGAAGGCCTTGTTTTCTTCTTAACATCTTGCAGGTACTCCAGAGCCACTGTTGTTTGTACAGCAGTTAAGCAAGAGCACCAGGATTTCTCTTGGGATTCTCTGGTTTAAGAGACTGGTGACACAGTTTTCCCTGGGACAAGCTAGATTTGGACAAGGACACTTTGTCTTCAGGGTTTCAGACTGGCCTTCAGAATGTGCCTCTTGCACGTAAGCACGTGCATGCATGTGTGTGTCTGTGTGATCGTCTTGCACGTAAGCACGTGCATGCATGTGTGTGTCTGTGTGATCGTCTTGCACGTAAGCACGTGCATGCATGTGTGTGTCTGTGTGATCGTCTTGCACGTAAGCACGTGCATGCATGTGTGTCTGTGTGATCGTCTTGCACGTAAGCACGTGCATGCATGTGTGTGTCTGTGTGATCGTCTTGCACGTAAGCACGTGCATGCATGTGTGTGTCTGTGTGATCGTCTTGGGGTTTGTTAAGATTTGGCATATAGAAGAAAATTAAGAGTTTACAGAGATGTCTTCATACTCTGCCTTTTGCAGACCAAGAGAAACAAACAAATGTGAGCTGCCAATCCCTTAGTGAAAACAGAAAGGCAGTGGTTTTCATCAACCTTCTGCAATTACTGAAATTGGTTTGTATTTCCTGGGACTGAAAGAAACAACAAGCTTTGAGGAGTTTTCATCTGATAGGTATGGGTGTCTACAAGATGACAGTGGAACCTCACACAGCTGCCTCAGCCTGCTATAAAAGGAGGTTCCCCAACATAAGGTCACCCTAATTTTAGCTGTCACTAGGAATAAAACTGTAAATGTAGTTATGGAATGACACTAATGTTTTTGTTTCTGTGGGGTTCTTTGTTGACTTTGCTGTTTCGTTTTGTTTTAATCTAGCACAGAATAACTGCAAAATGCTGCCCAAAATCCTGTAGGGGTAAAATAGTGGCTGTTCTTTGTTTTGCTTTTTGAAATTCTGTAGGGTGGCAATTCTAAGTGTCTCCCCTTCGGGTTACAGGGATCATTCAGTGAGCTACCAGACAGTTAGTCAGTCTAGAAATTCAAACTTAACAAAGCTGCCTAAATGAAGATATGATAAATCTTGAAACAGATGTTTGCTAGGGCCTTAGGTCCTGGTTCCTCCCTAATTCAAAGGTGAACAAGTTTTTCAGAGAATTTCCTACTACTTTGGGTAAGAAGAAATGTTCCTACCCCACCCACTTTCCCTAAACCTAGCACTCTCCCTAATACCTTCAGGTGCTTTTAAGGCTCTCTGCTGTCTGTACTGCTGTCAAGTAACATCTTGGGATTCTCTGCTTGTAAAGAACACAGACACACAAGGTTGAGGTGCGGTTCATCTGTCAAGGTCAGGGAAGTGCACCATGGTCTAAAACTTCATCCCTAGCCCTCCTGCACTGCTCCAGTCCCATTCTGACAGGTCTCAACGCAGATTCCTTTCTGTATAGCAAAATGGGTACCTCTAGGAGGCAAGAACTCTGCCTTTCTCTCAGGTTTTTCTTTCAGGGCTCCATCAACAGAATATATGCCCTTCCTCACAGATGTTATGAGAAGAGACTGAGGGAAAAGAGACAAAGCAAGGCAGACAGGTTATGGAGTGATGAGCTCTGGGATGACCCTGTGAACATCCAGTGGAGGACAGCGGAGGACAGGGCAGAAGGGGCTGGATGGAGGGAGGGAGGTGCTACATGACCACCACCAGCCAGCTCGTGACTGCACCATTAGTGTCACTGCTACAATCGGAGGCAACATCGATGCCAGTAAATGGGTTAAATGTAAAAACAGCCCAAGAATAAGCCACCGACTGCTTTGCAGCAACCCCATCAACAATGCATAATCAGCAGAGTGGGCAGGGAGTCAAATGAGCTCCTATTTAAAGAGCGTGGAAACCAGTGAAGCTCAGCAAGGGAGCGGATGGAATCAGCTTTCCGAGGAAAGAGGCCATGCTGGCGGCTCTACCTGCAAGCTGCTCAGCAGTGGTTCTTGCTACTCCAGGCTTCTGCTTTCAACTGGTTTTTGTAGGAAAGGGGTACTGGTCTAAACATTCTTTGTAGCAAACAAAATTGATACAGGCCTCAAGGCTGCCTTGAGGACACCTTGGCACTACTGAAACATGAAGGGGGTGAGAGAGGGAGACAGAAGAGGAGAGATGGCCAATAGGAATGAGTAGGAAAGGAAGGAGGAACAGAGGATATCCACAGCAAATTTTACTATGAATGCAAAATACTGATGATAAGAATGAAACTTTGTGCCAGGAAATTCCCAAAGGGTAAAATCAGCTCAGGGAGCATGCCAATGAAGCAAGTAGGTACTTCCCTCTCTGAATCGGACGGGACTATAAAACAGAGGCTACATGGCAGAAGTCTCTTTTATCTTCCTCTGCTCCCCCCATGCCAAAGGTAGGCTTTTGAAAGCTCCATGCAGTTTGCAGAAGTGCCCCCAAGTGATATCAGGTGAGCTGAAGTCATTTTACCAGGGTCCCTTCCAAGAACCCAGTAGTGAGTTTCATTTGCAAAGAAGCCCATTCATGATCCCTTAAATGTTTACCCATTTGAAATACCATGACTGGTAAGGAGGCAGCCCCTGGTGCCTGCCTCCCCAGGGTGAAAACTTTATTGTCGCTGGTCCTGAACACCAGCCAGCCTGTCTGTCTGTCATTCAGGTTCCTCAAAGCCAGGCAGGTGGCATTTTATTCTTGGGCCTTTGGTAGAGACAGGATTAGTCAAGGAGAGCATTTGCACAGCGCACAGTACCGGGAAGTCGTTAATTGCTTGTATGGACCAACGTCGCCGGGCAGAGCGAGGAGACATCTGTGCGTGAAAACGTTACACCCAGGAAGAGGGAAGAAAAACACCAAGAAAATTAAAAGGGAAAAATATAGAATAAAATGAAAGTTTCCCCCACATCTGATGGATTTATAGGTATATATGCTGCAAAATAAGAACCGGGGTGGCTGAAAAGACTGAGCCTAAGCATGGCACATCTGTATCCCTCTCCTCCCCCAGCCCACCTGCCTCAAGCCCAGCTTCAGTTACGTTGCTCTTTAGTCACTGTCCGGGAGATGAGGAGGCGGATGTCAACACAGTTCTGACAAAGGAGCCCAGGTGAAGGCATGAGGGACTCTGACAGCAGCACTAAGAAACAGGAAAGATTCCGTTTCACCTCACAGATGTGAAGCATACAGCAGAGCACACTCTTGTTCCTCAAATGCTTCTTCAATAGGCTTAGCTCCCAGTGTGGCTGGGGAGCAATGAGCAACTGTGGCTGAGAAACTATCTTCAGAACAATGCCCGGGGAAGGAGGGGGCTCAACTGAGGAGGAATGCTCTGTAGGCACACCAGCTAGCCAAGGGACCTGGTATGGAGTGGACAGTATCCCATACTGACCACAGAGAGCAGACTCATAACCGAAAGGCCTCTCCAGTATTTATATCAGAGCTATTTTAATAATAAAAACTGAAGCAAAGATGAGAGGCTGCAAAATCTGAAAAGTATCTGTAGGTCAGTGCTCAATATTTATTAGAAGTTCTAGAATAAACACTATTTCTTTGGCTGGTAATCACTGGCCTGTCTGCCAAGTCTCCCCTTGTGAGCATCTGTGCTTTCTGACTTATATGAGACTTGACAGGTCTTTAGGTCACTCAAACTTTGTAATTTCATCTAGCGGACACGGGATGAATGCTAAAACACAAGAGAAATAAACCACCATGTTTAGGTGGCTGTAGGAGACTCTACAATCTCAGTACAATTCCTTCCTGCTACTCCTCACTGCAGGTACATCTTATTCCATCCGCCTCCCTCATTTAGGGTACAGAAGTACACAGGAGAAAACGTGGACACAGAATTTCAGCTGTCCAGAGGCATTTCAGACCAATGGTAATAAAATAAAATCATTTCTCCCGAGGAAAAACCAGTCCTCAAGGGTTACTGTTCTCTGTGAGGAAGCCAGCGTGGAGGCTTCCCTTGCTTTAGCTGTCCTGCTCTATTTAAACAGGATAAAGCATGAACAAGTGGGAGGGACAGATAAGGTTATTTTAAATTTATCACGAGACAACTGACATTTGTTTTGGGCATCTTAAATAAACTGAACCACAAGAAACTTTAGATAAAAGTGGCCAAATAGAATCAAGGGCCCACAATTTACCTTCACAATTATTATGTGCCATGCTTTAAATGTGTCTCCCTCCCCAGGATCCTGAAGTCTTACAATCTTCTGCTTCTTGACTGGGGTGCTTGTTAATTCTCTAAACTATACATTTATGACCGGCTAACTTTACTGTGCATATGGTATAGACCAGTGCAAGGGTTTCATACTACACTGTGATTAAAAAAGTAAAAGTGCTCCCTGTTTTATTTGATTGCTATGTAAAAATAAATGCCCATTTCCTGTGAGAGCAGTCTAGGAACCGGCCCACACTGAGATCTCACAGTCCTCCCTTGCTAAAAGGCCATCAGCCACACACTTTCTTGGTGCTTCTTCAAGAACATGGTGTTGGTGGTAAAAGGGGCCAGACCACTGCAACCATAAACGTAGGCATCACTGATGCTTCTGTCTTGGAACCACAAGTACTGTGACTACAGATGGGCTTTATGTGAGCACCAAGTCAAATACGTAGGCCAGTTCATTCTAGCCAATCGGATTGCAAGCAAGGGTGGTAGCACATGACATGAATTGCCTGACTCAGGGATCTCTTCAAACTGCACCTGATACTAAATAAAACCCTCATTTACCTAGCTGTCAGTGGCTTTTATGCCAACTGATTGCTCCAACTATCAAATCTTCCTCCCAGTTACCAGCTGCTTTGCAGAAAAGGGGGAATGGAGGTAATTTTTTTTAATGTAAATGACCTGGGGGAGATAGCATTTGGTGGGTGCTTGAGAAAGTTCTTTGACAGCCAGAGGGACAAAATCCCATCAGGGAGATGGGGACAGGGAGTGTGGAGAGGGGAAGGCAGGTAGGAAGTCAGCTAGAACCATATTCCTGTCTGGCTAGATGGCTTTGCCCAAGATTGGACTAGTTCAAATATCAGCGGCTGCCCAATTTCAGTCACATAATCCCTGAGACTAGACTAGTCAGAGCTGGTCAGCCATCCGTGGGAGCTGGAGGCAGCAGACTCCACTGCAACACATGTGAAGATACTTACAATACTTGATAGAAAAACCATGTTTTTATTTTAATGATTCCATTTCAAGCCAGATTTTAATTACTGACAGTTGTTATTTCCCATTTTATGGGGAAACAATGAAGAATTCTTAAGGACAGAGTTTGTGCAGTAAGTAGGTCAGCAGGAACATGGACTGTTTAGACCTAGCAGTGTTGATGCCAGGCTCACAGTCTGACAACACACAAAGGTTTCTAGGCATTTCCCGGGATCACTAGGTTCCTGCCAGCTAAAGATAAGACACTGCATTCTTTAAGGACCCCTGAAAAGCTGGGGGTGGTGGCACACACCTTTAATCTCAGCACTCAGGAGGCAAAGGCAGGCGGATCTCTATGAAATCCAAGCCAGCCAAGGTTACAGAGTGAGACCCTGTCTTTAAAAAAAAAAAAAGAAAAAGAAAAAAAGAAAAGAAATTAAGGGCAAGTTCAGGTAATTTTTGTACCAGCTGAATCACTCTGAAAAACCTAGGGATCAAGTAGTTCCAAATCCACCAAGATCCCCAAATCTCAGAAGCAACTCTTAGTGTGCTGACAGGCACTAGGATATTGGGATATCAAGGAAGAACTGAAGTTAAATTATTCTGCCTGATTGTGGGAATCAATTCAACTAATGGGGATTGCCAGGACAGACTTTTTCACGAGGAGTAAAGTGCACTCTTGACTTTATAGTTACAGTGTAAGAAGGAACCACATCTTCTACCCCATGGTTTACAGTAGTTCAAGCCAACTGAAGGCAACAGACCTTTTACATATAAACTAGTTATGAAACTGAAAGACTACAAAGGCATTATTAATTTAGCTACTGCGCATGGCACACAGGGGACAGGAAACAAGAATCCAAAAGGGGTAAGAATCCAAGACAATGGCTCAGACACTTACCCGTTCCTTGTAGTAGAAGGAGCTAATGGAGACCTGCTCTTTCTCGCTTCGAGTAGGGCTCCCACTGTACAAACGCAGGTTCCCGGGGGCCTCAGTGCGGATTTTCATGGGAGCAATCAAGCCAGTGTGATAAGCAGATAGGGCTGAGAGAGATCTGTGGTTGAAATGAGAATTATCCATATTGGATGTAGCTTCTATACCCTGAGTAACCAAGAACATGGAATGGGAAGAAAAGGGGAACCCAAACAAAGAAACAAAAACAGTAAGAGTTTAGAGATGAAAACTGCAGACTACAGAAGCAGACTCTTCCACGGCTATACACAGAAAATTCAGAGGACTCTACTATTAGACCTAATTAGCGGCTCTAGATACAAGGCCAATCTATAAAAATCTGCTGTTTTCAGATGCTAGAAATAATCATTTGAGAGCCAAAAGATGGTTCAGCTGGTAAAGACATGTGTGTGTGTGTCTTTTAAATTTTTTTAAATTTAATTTTTATTTACTATCAAAACATATCAAATAGCCAGACATAGGACTCACACTTGTAATCACAGTCCTAGGGGAGCTGAGACAGAAAAACTGCTATGAGTTCAAGGCCAGGCTGGGCTATAGTGAGTCTCAGGGCAGTCTGAGCTACTGAGGAAAGCCCTATCTCAAAAAAAAAGAAAAAAAATATAATGAAAAAATATAAAAATATGCATTGAAAATACAAACTAGTCCTAAGAGTCATACCATACCATACCTAAGGGAATAAAAAGACTCCCCACTGTTAAAATATCAGATTTCTTTTAACTGATGTGCAGAGTCAGTGTAATTGCAATCAAAACATGAACAGGCATTGTAGAAACTAACAAGCTGATATAATTTTGTGGAAATGCAAAGGCTTAGATTAGCCAACAAAAAACTAAGCAAGAATATCTTCAAGAACTTACTCTACCAAATTTATGACACCATAGAAGGCTACATTCTGAGTAATAAGACACGGGGAGAGATGAAGAGATCAAAAGAATAACTAGGTCACAGAAACAGACAACCAATTGTCATCTGTGAAGGAAGGCAGGCTGCATAAATGGTGCTAGAACAACCATTTATTTCTATTAAATAAAACAAATGCTCTCCCTTACCTGACATCATAAACACCAAAGAGACTGAGGCCATGGACCTTAGACAAGGAACTTAAAGCCACAGACTCACAGAAAAAGATGTAGAAGGGTATTTCAGTGACCTTGATGCAGACCAAGAGCCTCTCTCTCTCTCTCTGTGTCTCTCTCTGTCTCTCTCTGTCTCTCTCTGTCTCTGTCTCTGTCTCTGTCTCTCTCTGTCTCTCCTTCTCTCTAATACAAAAATCACTAACCATAAAATTAAAAAATGATGAATTAGACAGCATCAAAATTGAAAACCATGTTCACTGAATATTATTAAGGAGGGAGAAAAATCAGTCATTAGAAGAGAATCAATGCATATATCCAGCAAAAGATCTGCAATCAAAATGGATAGCTAGTACAAATAAGTAACAGTGCATGATACTTGAACAGGCACATCACACAAAAGGAGACACCCAAATGGTCAATAAGCACACAAACACTGCTCATATCATTAGTCATCATCATGGGAATGCAAATGAAAGCAACAAGATAATATTTCCCACCCACCACCATGACAGAAGTTGAACAGATTGGCAATAGAGGGAGAGAGAAGATGTGGAGCAATCAATCCTCTGAGCCTTCAGTGAGAAGAGGACAAAATGCCCTCACCACTGAGCACACACTTTCTCCAAGTTAAAGAGACGTCTATCCTATGACTCAGCAGTTCCACTCCTTGAGTCAAGAAATTAGTATATCCGTGAAAGAAAAACTAGAAAAAATTAATGTATATCTAGTTTGCTTTTAATAGCCCTAGAGAGGAAATGATCCAAACATCCATCAACAGACCAAATCACCCTACGTCATGTTCATACAGTGCAATTATTGATCCATGCAGCCATTCAAATCAAGTTCAATAACATTAAGTTGAACAAAGTAAGCCAGACATAAAAACAGTCCATGCTGCATGATTCTAATTCAATGAAGTTTTAAAACAGGCAAAACTAAAAGAGGGTGACAGATGTCAAGACAGTGGTTTCCTGTGGAGTTTGGCAAAAGGACCAGGAGCTTATAAAGGTCAGGACAATGTCTTGTATCTCTGAGCTGGGTACTGGTCACTGAGCATTCAATGCTTTCGTTTAAACATTTTTATTATATTTTCTTGGAGGAGGGATGCAAGCCACCATGTGTATGTGGAGGTCAGAAGACAATCTGAGGGAGTGGGTCTCTCCTTCCACCACGTGGGTCTCCAGGATCAAACTCAGGTCATCAGACTTAGTGGCAAGTGCTTTTACCATCTTGCCAGCCTGGGGTTCAGTCCATTCAGCATATTGCAAATGATACTGTTCTAGTAGGAAGATTTCCAAGTTATCTTGGTCAGCATATCAAAAAACCAGAAGTCTACGATACAGTGTTGAAGTTTAAAACACCAGAGAGAAGCCTGAGCAGCAGTCTGCATACTCACTGTCTTACAGGACCAATTACTTAACTTTCCAGGCAACTAAAGGATCTTCCCATGTAACTGCTGAAAAACACTAAAGCACTTTAGATACTCTGTCCACAGTCAAAGAATCAACCAGCCAAGAAGAGGACTCGGCTAATTTGGCTATAAAGTTCACCCTCATCTGTCCCACTAGCTTGTCCATCAGAGAAGCAGCACAGAAAAACAGTGCAGAGGGCAGGAACATGCTTAGTTGTGACAGTAGCTCTCCCAGCACAGGGAGAAAGGGAGAAAGGGCTTTGCATTTTATTTAAAACTTTGATGTGGCTTGAGTTTTTCCAACACATAATTGTGAAAATGGCACATCCTGATTTCAGAAGTGGCCTATTAGTGTTGTGTGATTAATTAAATGGTATTTCTACTTTTAGTTTAATATTAAATAATAAAATTTCATAAAAGTTTAGCAATGGGACCCACACCCCTGTACATGCTCTGTACATGTTCTGCTACTAGGCTTATATCCCAGCCCAAAGCTGCCTTAACAACCGTTTTCATCAAGCTGTCTTCCCAGTCTTTGATACTCACCTTATAGTCGAAATAAGTTAGTGAACCCCAGTCTTTGAAGAAGGAATCTTGTAAGAGGAATTTAACTGACGAACTGACATGAATTTTCCAGGGAGAAAGACTCTGAGACAGATTTCTGTTGCGTCTCCCAGACTCACCTAGGGGTAGGCTCTGTTGGAGATACTGCGCGATGCATCGTCATGGGCCTTGTGAAGTACACCAGGTAACCTGAAGAAGAAAACACAGGAGCACGTGGTGTCAATGAGCTGGATGGGAATCCCAAGGCTGCACAGGGTAATCTTTTATTTTTTGAGACAGGGCCTCACTAGGTAGTCTAAGCTGAGCTAGCACTTGTAGCAAGTCTCCAGCCTTGGCATAATATGTATTGGGATTAAAGCATGAGCTCCTATACCTGGGTTAATAACTGTACTTTTTTTTAAATTAATTTATTTATTTTTCCAAGACAGGGTTTCTCTGTGGCTTTCTTCGTTGGAGGCTGTCCTGGAACTAGCTCTTGTAGACCAGTCTGGTCTTGAACTCACAGAGATCCGCCTGCCTCTGCTTCCCAAGTGCTGAGATTAAAGGCATGCACCACTACCACCCGGCAATAACTGTACTTTTTTTAAAAAGGTGGTACTAGGGATTGTACATGGGGCCTTGCACACACTAAGCATTATTACCACCAGCCAGGCAGGATTTTTCTCTCTATTTCCGTATACCTGAGGCACATCTCCACAAACTGCCAAGGTTTGTGACTACACTGATCCTTAAAAGGAACAAGGTGAGAGTCTACAAGATCCAGGAGAGGTAAAAGAATCAGGGATCTAAGTAGATGCAAATTCGGGATCATCAGGACTAAAGCAGTTAAGTCTTCAATTATAGAGAACATTCTTTTTTACAAAGACTTATTTATTTTACTTATGTGAACACGTATGTGTCCAGATGCCTGCTGAGACCCAGAGAGGATGTCAGATCCCCTGGAGCTGGAGGTTCAGATGGCTGTGAGCTACTGGACGTGGGTGCTGGGAACTGAACTTGAGTCCCCTGGAAGAGCAGTGAGTGCTCTGTTCTGCTAGGCCGTCTCTCCAGGCCCCTGGTAAACATTCCTAGGCTACATCCTCAGATACCAATTTAGCATTATGTTAAACACCATATGTTGTTTTGAGCTCTTACAAAGTTAAAAACAAACATTTTCTGATAGTAATGAAGAATATAATAAGCCTTTCTCAGCTACACTTCTTTGGAGTTAAGAGTCAAAGAACAGAGAGACCTACCTGCTCCACAGAACCTGGCCCCAGAGGTCCTAGGAAAGGGAACATTGGCATCCTGGTATGACCCATAGGCAGTGGTCACCCGTGCAAATGTCGGTAAGGGTGGTGTGACAGAGTTTGGGAGTGCAAATGGGTTGCTAGAAGCACTGTCCTCTTGGTTCTGAAATCAAAGATAAACACACTAGAACCCACGCCCTATCTTTAAGTTGGACCACAAGCCCGTGGTGTAGCACTACAATGGGAGCCAGGGTCTCAGGGATAAGAACTGTGACAAGACACTAAAGCAGGGTTGGCTCAACAAGTTCACGTTTCCCACCACGAAAGACTCAAGGCAGGAGACGAGCTGGCGCAGGCAGGGCTCCAAACAGCTCTGGTTGCGTTTCACTTTCTGCAGGGAAGTGTCCTTTAGGATCTGGAAAAGACCCAAAATACCATCAGGGAGAGAATCATATGTCCATATGTCTCTGCTTGGCTTCATGCTGCAAAGTGGCTGGAAGCATGCTGGCACTTGGAGGCGAGCACATGGTCAGGCCTGAGGCGTCTACTGGTTCCCACAAGGGCTCAAGAGAAGACTTTCCCGAGCCCTAGACAGAACAGAATGACTATTCTGTCTTTCTAGTGAGTCTGCGTAGCTTTGCCTCCACACATGAGAAATCTAATTATTTTGGAAACATCATCACTGGGCTGGAGAGAAAACTGCTCTGAGTGATACATGCCAGGGCAAAAATTTCTATTTGGCAAAAGTTATAATACATTGCTATGTTTTTATCCACTAAAATGGCGACCCCTGACATTTTAAGGTACATGCTAGAGATATGAACTGACACCCACATTAAGACAGGCACATGAACTGGACCACTGCTGTCACTGTCTGCATGGAACACAGGAAATATGCCTCCTCCAAACTCACAGCTTTTTCCAGTATAAATTTCACTACTGTACAGAAGGCTTTGTATCAAAAATTAAAAAGTGTAAAGTATCTCATTTTAGGGGTTGACCCAAGGACTCATGTAGCCCAGGCTGGCCTCAAACTTGTTATATAGCTGAAGATGACCTTGAACTCCTGATCCTCCAGCTTCCCACACTAGGTGTATGGATTACAGGATTGTTATCACCTTGTCTGGCTCATTTTCACTAACAATATGTTGACAAGATAATATTATTTTAGATGTGCTGAGTTAAATAAAAGTACAATTAAAGCCGGGTGTTGGTGGCACACGCCTTTAATCCCAGCACTTGGGAGGCAGAGGCAGGTGGATCTCTGTGAGTTCGAGGCCAGCCTGGTCTACAAGAACTAGTTTCAGGACAGCCTCCAAAGCCACAGAGAAACCCTGTCTCAAATAACCAAAAAAAAAAAAAAAAAAAAAAAAGTACATATGGTTGCTAGGACTTGAACTCAGGACCTCTGGAAGAGCAGCCAGTACTCTTAAACTCTGAGCCATCCTCCAACCCCCTTTTCTGAGATTTTTAAATGACTATACATATTTTTCTAACTATCAAATATTTTTAGCTTCAAAATATGTCTTGCCTATTCTTCCTAGATAAGTGAAATTGCATTGTAGAATTCACAACCTCAGACTAATGCAAAGCTCTAAATTTGCAAACACATTACTTATAGTCAATATATTTACATGTAACACTTATAAAATCCTTCATATCCAACATTTGTAAAAGTTTTTCTAAAGAAAAGTCAACAGTTTTTATTAGAATTCCAAAGGACATCCATGCCCACCCCCTCAAAAAAAGCAGGCTAAGAACCCTGTCCCACTGCTGACTGCCAAGACTGCAGCATATGGGGAACAGGAAACTAAATCTTACTGATGCAGGTTTGTGCTCAGTCTCACCAATGCCAGCTACAGCACACGGAGACTCTGAAGCTGGGAGCTCAGCCTCACCTTCAGCAGCTTGGCCTTCACTGCAGACGTGATGGTGGTAGGGTTAATGAACTGGAAAGAAGGAGCAGCATTGTTGGGGTACTGTGCTGGGAATGTCACCAGCATCTTGACACGGTGGTTGCTACAATGCACAGACACTGTGCAGCTCCTGTCCGCAGCGTCCATCTGCAAAACACAAGTGCAAGGTGCTTTGGAGACAAACTGCAAAGGGTTTTCGAATGAAACACATTTACCTTATCATACTGTGCTGTATTTTATCGGCAGTGCTGAGCCTCAAACCCAGGGCCTTGAACAGGCAAGACAAGTACTACTCTACCCCCAAGCCACAGTCTCAGAAGAATACACATGGATTTTAACAATCAACAATCAACATAAATGTTCATGTTCCTAGTAACTGAGTAAAAGGAAAGTGACTACAAAAACAAGTAGTTTGAAAGACAATTCATTTTCAGAACAGATTTTTAAGTTTTAGTACTGATTTAAATAAATTCATATATGTTACTTTTTAATTTTATACAATGTAGCAGGTAAAAACATTCTTTTTAAAGACTTTCTATTTATCTGTATGAGTGCATGCCACATGCTTGCAGTACCCACAAAGGCCAGGGGAGGGCACAAGATCCTTCAAACTAGAGTTAACAGACAGTTGTGAGCTACCATGTGATTCTGGGAATCAAACTTGGGTCCTCTGAAAGAGCAGCCAGCGCTCTTAAGCTCTGATCCACTTGACAGATGCACAATGGAGTTATTTCATTTATTTATTTCATTCATTCATTTCATTTATTTATTTCATTCATTCATTTGTTGAGACAGGGTCTTACTATGTACCCCAGGTTGGCCTGGAATTTGTTATGCATTCAAGGCTAACCTTGAACTGAACTCATGATCTTTCCTGAGTGTTGGGATTACTGAAATGTGGCATCAAACTTTGCTGGTTATAGAATTTTGTTTTGTTTTTTAGGGTAATGGGAATGTTCTAGAGTTAGGCAGTGGTGAAAGCCAAACAACTCTGAAATCAAGGCTTCTTTCTAAAACCAGACCACTACCGTTTTCAACTGGGACAACCGCAGCACAGGCTAAGTTGATACAGATAGGCAAATTACTGTAGCCTTTAGCTCTGATGATTTCCAATGTGGCCAACTAGAGAACACAGCTGAAGTATAATGAAAAGAGCCAAACCAATGGGGAATTTAGAAACTTGAATTATGCAACTAAATTCAATTCATTTCAAATATTATCATTAGGGGTCTGGAGAAATGGCTCAGTGGTTAAGAGCACTGGCTGCTTTTCCAAAGGACCCAGGTTCAACTCTCAGCACCCACATGGCAGCTCACAGCTGTCTGTAACTCCAATTTCCAGGGATCTAGTGTCCTCTTCTGACCTCTGCAGGCACTGCTCACATGTAGTGTACAGACATACACGCAGACAAAATACCCACACACATAAAATTTTTTAAAATTAAGATTTTAAAAATCAAAAACAAAAATTATCTCTTCCCACCAAACAGTAATTTTGCTCCTTGTCTCCATTCCCTTATCTGCAAAGCAGAGTGATACTACACATTACAAAACAGCATCAAAGACCAAGCAGATCGTGGCACTGCAGTACTTATCTCTGTCTATGATGAAATAACTCTGAGCAAAAGAAAAATTAGCAAAGCTTTAAAATCCCTCCCTGGAGTAACAATCGGTTCTCTGAAGCAAACAATTTCTAAATCTACACACACACACACACACACATACACACACACAGCTCCATGTTGAAAGCCAGGCCACCCCAAGGCTTCTCAGAGGCTCTGATGAAACCACAAAATGAACCTAGTTTTGTGTGCTTGCCAAGGGGCAGGTTTAAAAGGTCTAACCTGGGGCTGGGACCCTGGCCTTGAATGAGTTAGGGTTTGGGGCTGCTGTGTGGTCAGTCTGTGATGTACTTGAATGAGTTAGGGTTTGGGGCTGCTGTGTGGTCAGTCTGTGATGTACTTGAATGAGTTAGGGTTTGGGGCTGCTGTGTGGTCAGTCTGTGATGTACCTGAATGAGTTAGGGTTTGGGGCTGCTGTGTGGTCAGTCTGTGATGTACTTGCAATACCCTGTGTTCTCTTAGTGCAGCTGACTTTGTCCCATTGTATGATAACTTCTTCTAGCTTCGTCCCATTTATCCCCTGGAAAAAGTATATAAGATGTTGTACTTTTTAGTAAGTTTGCTTGCCATAAGACATAGCTTGTGCAAGACCTCCTGATCCCAGATTTCTGTCTTCTTCATCGTCTCATCTCTTGGCCATATAATCCTCAGGACCCTGTCACTGAAGAATAATCTGGCCCAAGTCTGTTCCAAGTGCTAAGTGAACCGAGAGGTTTTGGTCACATTCTTCCTCTGAATTTACATCAGAGGAAACTAGCTCACAAAGGGAAGGCGGAAGAGCACAGTACAATAACATGGAGATTTAGGAGATCCAGCTCCAAATTCAGGTCTACCATTAACCTCTCCCTCAATCTTGTCAATCAGTAAGCCTTCCCAGAGCAAACATCATCGCACACAGTAAAGTAAGGGGCTAGAGAGATGCTCTATGGCACCTGAGCTTCAAAAGGGTCTACATTTGTGAAACAGCTGTTTCTTTAGAAAACTTAGGAATTAAGAAAGAAGCCTGGGGCTAGAGAGATATCTCAGCAGTTAAGCATACGTCCTGTTTTCACACAGGGCCAAAGATCACAACTGCCTCTAACTGCAGCTCCAACAGACATCACCCATACTCGCACACATTCCATCCACAAGCATGAAGCCCAGTTCATTACTGGGACTTACCTCCACATTGACATTCCGGATTTGCACATTGATCAAGGAGAATTCCTGCTGCAGAGTCTGAGGCAGGCCTAGTTGGTCTGATTTCCTCTCTTCCAGCAAACTGCTGGGAGGATCTTCCTTTAAGGCTACCAGGAGAGACAGTCAATATTGGGAATGTTTAGAAAATGAGTGAGTTCTGGGGTATCTGCCACGTAACCCTGGAATACATAGTGGAGCCCCTCACCTAGAATATCAGTTGCATTACCATCTTCTTCTCCGTGGCTTGAGTTGGGCTGGTGATCTGTGTCTTGAGTGTGTAGGGTCTTCTCTGGCTCCGGGAGAAGAGAAATGCTCTCAATGAACTCATCAACACCATCCAGAATATCATTGGCACAGAGCTGAAAGCAAGGGCAGAGGGTGGGGTGGAGAATGTGGTTCAGTGTTAAGGTGCTTGTCTAGCATGCACAAGACCCTGGGTTTGATTGACAGCAGCACCAAAAACCAAAACAACAAAACATAAGGGTAAAGGTGCAGAGCTGGAGAAGTAACAGAAATGGTCACTATGTCTAGCCAAAGAGTTCAGTCTTAAAAAATGGAAATCATAAAGGACAGGGATGTGTCAGCTAAGAACTGATATAATTACAATACATCTTACCCATCACCAATATTCCCTGGTTAAATACAAAGGGTAATTAATACACTCCTCTATTACTCCACTCTAGACATTTTACCACGAGCAGAGTAAAAATGCTGAGGGGAAAAAATAAATTTAAATTCCAAGTCTTGCCAGGCAGTGGTAGCCCATGCCTTTAATCCCAGCAGCAGCAGGAGGATCTCTGTGAGTTTCAAGACCAGCCTGGTCTACAAGAGCTAGTTCCAGGACAGCCTTCAAAGCCACAGAGTAACCCTCCCCCCAAAAAAAGAAATTCTAAGTCTTAATGGAATTATTCAGATAACTCACAAGCAAAAATACCATAACCCTAAGCATTTGGACCAAATGGTATGTTCTAGTAAAAAAAAGATTTAAATAAAAAGTGATAAGATAATAGGACTTAACCAAAATGCTCAGGTGAGTTTAGACTAAATTTCCACCTAGCATGTCCCATCAGTCCTGGAGGAGCTGGTATGAGAAATGCTGTTGGGAATGAAACACCAGTGAGCAGTGTTTCTCACCATCAAAGGATTCAGCCACTGGAGGAGGAGAAAACTGTCTTATGACTGTTCAGAGCAACATACCAGGTACCAGGCTCATATATGCAAACAGTGGAAGGACCTTCATAGAGAAAGTGACACTGATGGATGACAGGGCTATGAACTTCTGCAGAGCACAAGGGCAGGCTTCTCAAGTCATTAAGAAGAGATAGGAATGAAAGGCTAAGCCATTTGCCTAGTATGGTACCCATCCTGTCCCATACTAGGACAAGACAGAAAAACAGAGCCTTTAGCCTTAAAGTACAGACTACTTTGGCTCTTAAAGACCTCCAAGCTGGGCATTGATGGCTCACGTCTTTAATCCCAGCACTTGGGAGGCAGAAACAGGCAGATATCTGTGAGTTCGAGGACAGCCTGGTCTACAGACCGAGTTGCAGGACAGACTCCAAAGTTACACAGAGAAACCCTGTCTCGAAAAACCAAAAGAAAAAAGAAAAAGACCTCCAAGTCAGTGTGGCATACACAAGCCACCAGTCCACCATAGCATATGATAAATGTCAGCATGTATTCTCTAATTTCTTGTATCTTTTCGTTAATTTTCTGGTATATTCATTTATATTTCTCTATAATAGCACTGCATACATACCCTCTGCATTTGGTAATCTACCCGCCACATCCTCAATGTCTGATCCCGGGACCATGTGACAAGTTGGTAGTCCTTGGACCCTAGAAATCATCAAATAAAAATCCTAAAAACAAATCCTCTAGATTTGACATCCACTTTGTTACAGACAGCAATGAAGTAAGATTGATTAATTCTTCCTTCCCTTCATTCATTCACTCATTCACTTATTCATAAGTACATACATCCCCCAAATAGTTACTGAACATTTTAGTCTATGTCAGACACCCGCCTAGGCCCCAGAACAGCAGCATGAACAAAGTCATGTCTTTGTAGAGCTGACAGTTCCAATGGTGGAAAAAACCAGCAAGTCAACATGTAATAAAAATACTGGTGGTGAAGAGTATCAAGAAAAGTAACACCAGAGAAGAGGACAGACATTAATGAGAGCTGGGACTCCCTGGGGAAGTTCCATGAGAGCAGAAACAGAAATGAAGTGATACAATAATTGGCAAATTAGCAGACAGAGAGGGATACTAATGTCACCTAAACTTCCACCCCGGCAAACACGCTCCCGAGGAGCTGGGATGAAGGTAATCGTCTGTAAAAAGCAATTGTTTTTACGCATCATTGCATCTCACTGCTCAGAGTATTTTTGTAAAGGAATACATCTCTTTATAAAGTAAATAATCAACCTTTTAACCCTCTTAATTAGCTGAATCATATTTTTAAGATGTTGAGTCCAGTCAAAGGGGATGACTCAAAAGAAGTTTAGGGTGCTTCAAGAAACAGCTTATAAAAGATGAGGATAATTGGGATGGCTTCATGGCCATCTTCAGAGAACACAGAATTTATAATAAATTTCACTCGAGTCCCTCATTTCCTGAATGGGGACACTGAAACAACAGACAACATGATCTGTACAAGCTAAGAGGATAAGTGGGCTTTGGCCAAGGGCAAGTTCTCTTCCTCATCAGTCCCTCCTCTGTGTCACCAACTTCAACCATTAGTTGTCGTCCAGTGTTTTAATGTGTCCTGAGGTACACTTAACCAGAAAGCAACCTTTCTGAATCACCGTTAAGTTCCGCCACTTAGTGTCATGATCAATGCTCTGACCCTACACCTATGCTTCTCACCTGCACCTGGCTTTGAGGGAAAGGTCTACCTAAGAGCCTTACAAACTCAGCTCCTCTACCGCACCTTCCATGCCACGCCCACCCATGCCCAGGGGGTCTTGCTCTCCCACTGACTTCTCTTTTTGCATCTTCCTGCTTCCCCTAAGTCCCCATACCACTCCTTGTCTTGGAAGTAACAACAGTTCCTGCAGTCCCACTGGCTTCTAGCCTTACTCTGCTTGGGAACTTCTCCTACTCATCAAACAGCTTCCTTTGTGTTCAGTTAAATGATTTTTATCTCACTCTGCATTTTGGTTCTTCAGCAACACCCAACTCCTGTGACTACTGCTGCTTTCCTAGGCATCCTTTACCCTTAGCTACCACATCCTGGTCCTTCCCTACAGTGAAAACCAAAGTCAAAGCATAAGGTGGTCCAATAAAATTTAAGGAGACATGGTGGTAAAAATATACCAGAGTAGCCAGGTGGTGGTGGCACACGCCTTTAATCCCAGCACTCGGGAGGCAGAGGCAGGCGGATCTCTGTGAGTTCGAGGCCGGGCTGGACCGATAGCCTCCGAAACAATACAGAGAAACCCTGTCTCGTAAAAACCAAAAAAAAAAAAAAATGCCAGAGTAACATTAGGTCGAGAAGGTCAAATTTTAAAAACACTCAGGATAATTAAATTATGGAAGGTTCAAAACACAGACAAATCTAATTTAGCTTTAGGAATTCCACAAATTGATAGTGAAAGACAGGGACATAGCTCAGAAGCAAGTGTAAGGTCCTAGGATTGATCTCCAGCACCAATAAATAAAAAAACAAACAAGAAGGAAGGGAGGAAGAGAGGCAGGGTAGGAGGAAAACTGTTATTGGTTTGTTGGCTTGGGGTTTTTTTTAAGTGGTAGATAGTTTTGTTTGTTTTTGAGATAGGGTTTATCTGTGTATTGTTGGCATTTCACTGAACTTATTTTGTAGACCAGACTGGCCTTGAACTCAGAGATGCACCTGTCTCTGCTCCCTGAGCCCTGGGATTAAAGCTGTGATCCACCCCACCCTTCCTAATGCTTCAACCCGATGTTGGGGTGACCCCCCCAACTATAAAATTACTTTGTTGCTACTTCATGTAATTTTGCTACTGTTATGAATTGTGATGTAAATATCTGATATGCAGGATATCTGGCATGCAAAACCCAACAGGGTCAACAGTGCAGGTTGAGAATCTCTATTCTTCAGTCTTAGGCTCTTGAAATGATTCAACAGCAAACCCCTCTCAACCTCTTACTGGAGCAGATGTCTTCCAAGCAGGAGAAACTGCAATGGAAGCTGGAGAAGAGAGAACTAAGGAAAGAGAGAATGCTGCATACTCCCTTTATCCACCTATAATTAAACACAGCCCTCCCTGCCCTCTGGCTCCTAGAACCAATCCTGTTCCGCCACCTCCTCACTGTATCAAGTGACTGCCGCTGCTGTCCACCAGGGCTCAGAAGAAGAGCCAGCCACCTTCCTCACCCACCTTCCTTTTGTCTCCTCCACTGGAACTCCAGTACCACATCATCGTGTCCCACAAAGGTGTGCACTGGAGTGTTCAAGTCAAACACATTCCACAGGAGCAGGCTGTTTTCCCTCCGCAGCTGGGGAACCATCACGGTCACTAATCCGTTGCTGAAAGGCTACAGATGAGAAGGGAAAGCTGTGATTATTCCATGGAGAATCAGCCAAAACCAAAGCTGGAGTTCTTCCTAACTAAAACAAACTACACAATGGACACCAGGCATGGTGACTCAGGTCTGAAACACCAGTACTGAGGAAGCAGAGGCAGAAGGATTGTCACAAGTTTGCTGCTAGTCTGGTCTACATTATCAAATTCCAGGCCAGGCTAGCCATAGCTACATAGGAAGAACCTATCTTTTTTTCTTTTTGCTTTTTTATTTTTTTCAAGACAGGGTTTCTCTATGTAGCCCTGGCTGTCCTGGAATGCTACAGACTAAAAGTAGCCTCAAACTTGGAGATCTACCTGCCTCTGCCTCCCAAGTGCTGGAATTAGAGGCATGGGCCATGACCACCAGGCTAAGAACCTATCTCTAATTTAAAAAAAAAAATCACCTGGGGAAATTTTTCTCAAATACCGTGAGTTGTCTACCACATATAGCATTCTCTCTCATAATGGAATGGAATGCATCAAATGGAAAATAAGGCTAAACCAAATGTTTGGATAATGTGAGAGTTAAAAATTATGTTTTAAGTTTTAATTACTGTGTCTGAGAGCCATAAACCAAAAAGGCCTCTAACCTGAAAGACCCCTGCCCAAGGGTGTCAGATGCTTCCTGAGAGGCTGTTGTTCATATCCAATGACAAGCCACAAGTTTTCACTTCCCTAAACAAGTTTGGTTGACCCAACTGTACCGGATATGCTTGATCATGCGTAGGCAGGAAGTATGTCAGAATGTATGCTTGCCCTCAATTGAACAAAGGCAGAAAGTACATTGCTTTGAGAGTTTGCCTTTATAAGCAAGCACCTGGCCAAAGTAGCTTGTGGCCATGTTCTGGGAACCCCAGAATTCAGCATCCTGGCCAGTATTTAATTAAAGCTTCCTTCAAATTTGGTTCAAAACTGAGGTAGTGTTCTTATTCTCACCTGGCGGGATTAACAATAACTCAGAAAATGGCTTTCTATTCCATGTCCTACATACTCTCCCTGAGTTTCTCCTCAGGATGAGTGCGCAAGGCTCGCTGGGAAAATCTGCATCACAAAGGTCAGGACACCATCTGCATGAAGCATCACCTTCTCACTGCCTCAGTGTGACACTAACTCAAAGGAAAACTTAGTAACCCCAGGACTGCTGTTTGACTTAGCAAGACTCAGTCTGCAGGGGAGCTGAGGGGCCCATTTGGTTTATATCTAGACTCTGTTATTTAAGGAAAAAGGCATAGTTACACAAGAGCACACTTATTAATCTTACCCTCTCCTCCCAACAACACTCCTCAACTTCCATGTTTATTTTTGAAAGCAAACATGAACCCAGAGATGTCAGCTCCTAAAAACAGAGTCTCATTTCTTGGCAAGTGATCACAGATGCAAAAACAACATCATGTCCAATTATCTTCTTTGCTCTACAATGTCCCACGGTGACAGACTAATGCATAAATGTAGCTTTGTTCATCCCTGCGCTTGCTTTCAAAGTGACATTAAAGGAAATACACTTATCTCTGACTCACAGCTATCAGTGTGGCCCTGGAAAAGTGGTTGGAGGTGGATAACAACCTATTTGTAGCATTTTGTGATTTATAAAGCACATCCATGTACATTATTTCAAGTGGAAGACAGATTGCGATATTCCAAATGCCACAGAATTGTCCACTTTAGAATGGTGACTATTATTATCACAGTAACGAAAGTGAGGGGCAGGGCTGGAGCAGACAGCAGCAGTAGGAGCTCCTGTTACTCTTCAGAGCATTCCCACCACCCATACCAGGCGACTCACAACCTCCTGTAACGCCAGCTCCAAGGGATCCAATGCCCTCTCCTAACCTGTGGGTACCTGCAATCCTATGGCACACACACATACACACACATACACACACACACACACACACACACACACACACACACAAATAAAAATAAAAATAAAATCTTTGAGCCGAAGTGATGGTTCAGCATTTAAGAACAGTTGCTGCTCTTGCAGAGAAGCCGAGTTCCATTCCCAGCACCCACGCTGGCTGACTTGGAACTAACTGCCTGTGACCCCAGCTCTCTTCTGGCTCCTCTGGGCACCTACATGCACATGGTACATACTTCCACAGACATACACACAAATAAACACAAATCCTTAAAAAACTTTAAGGGCAGAGTGAAAAGCATCCTTTCACCTCTGCAAATGAAGAAATTACTGTTTAAAACCAAGTATCTTTTCCAGGGCCACCAAAACATTAAATGGTGGAGGTGGGCCCCAAATTAGGTCCTCTGAACCTGGAGCCAGAGTCCTACTATAGTTCACCGGCTTCCTGCTCTGGCCCGTCTTCTCCATCCTACCCTGTTGAACTACCCTTGGTGAGTAAGTGTCTTTACAAGCTTACTTCTCTGGGAACATGTATCTAGCCTTCCAAAGGTAAGTACCTAAGACCATTACTGCATTCACCATACTTCAAACAAAAGGAGAAAACTCCATCACAAAGAAAACAAGAAAATGCACGGTCCAGACAAGACGTAGGGTAGCTCACTCACTGTGTATCTAGCTTTCCAGACAGGCACCTGGCAAGGGAGAATATTGAGGTATTTCCGAGGCTGGCGGTAATCCCAGAACTACAAGAAAGAAAGTTGGTGAAATAAATGCCATTAAGAACAAACAAAAAACAAAACTCAACTATTGAAGTAAGCATGGCTTTCAAACTCACTGCTTTTCCTTCTCCAAAGAAGTATTTCAATAGTGTATTTTTAGTTCCACCCCCATAACCATGTACTGTCAGATACACACACAAAGAACCTTCCTTTTACATCCATCAACACTACAGCAGGGTTTCTAGACTTCATCGGGACCACATGGGGCAGGTCAACCGCCTTTTAAATAACCATTTGTAGTTCAAAGGTGAAAATAACAGGTTTCCATCATGTATTACTTTTACATCTAAGAGTAATTTAACAACAGGTAACATGCCCTGACAATTTACTGCTTTCAGACAGACATTTGAAATTTTTAATCTCACCCAATCTTTACAATAAACATGGCAGGACATCCCTAATCTTTTTTTCAAATGCAAAATGGGATACGTTTCTGAATTTGGGAAATCAGGAACAGAAACCTACGAAACCTAAAGTGAAACAAAGGAACAAGTCACTTCAGCACAGTGCCAGGGAATTTACAAACCTCCAGACGGAGGTACTTTCAGTCCTTACATAGAAAGGCTCGGACTCAGTTTAGCTAACCAAATCAGAAAGGTTACAGTTATGTAGATCCAATTAATAATAATCACTGTATGCTAAACCAACTTCCGAGGCCAAGTCCTGACCTGCAGAGATGGATTGAACACAGAAGGAAGGATGGAGCAGAGACAACCCTGCCCCACAATGCTTTCCTCAAGGGTGCAAGGCTGATGCCACCGCTAGAGAAAACACACAAAGGGAAAAACACTGTCTCTGAGATAAATCAAAAATGACGGGGCCCCTGAACACATCCTTGAGCAGGTCTTAAGTTAGAGAATATTAACAAAACTCTACCCTGGCAATGCTGACGTCTGAGGTCATAACTCTAGATATGATAATCACATGAGGAACTGATGGCATGCCACCATGAACAGACAAACTATAATCTTGGTGGCTTTAATGATCGAGTGGCTTCTTCTCCTTGACTTTATCTCTGTGTATACACCTGGCTTCTTCACAACTTCTTCTCAGGCAAACCTTTCTTTCCTAAATGCTTTCTGTCTCTGACGCACAGAGAGGGAAGGAAAACCTGAAGCAGCTCATCAGTCAGCTTCCACACCGTACTTCTGCCGGTCAGGAGAGCCTGGCTGGCTCACTCTGGCCCGCCCTCGGCAGTACATGGGGCATACCAGCAAGCTGTATGCTTCCTTCCAAAATGCTATCACGCCTCCCTGATGCCTCCCACTAACAGCTCTTCCCACGACCCCAGAGGGCATTACTCACCTTGACGGAGTTATCTTGACTGGAGGTGGCGAGAATGTGCTCACTGTCTGGGTGCCAGTCCAAGCCATGGATTTTGGAGAGGTGGGCTGCTAGATATTCCACTGCTGTACTGGGTTTCTGCAACACAATGGCACTGGGTTTGTTGCTTTTAAAAGAACTCATTGACTGTGACAACCATAGACCAGGCTGCTGGGTGCTGTGGGGACTCTGAACACTGCCAGGACAGTTACGGTCTCTCCCCTTCATAAGCTCTCTTTGTTTAAATCACATAAACCAACAACAACAACAGACTTACCCAGAGTTCCCCACATGCCCTGTGAGTAAGCCTGTCAGTCTCTTTTCTACCCTCTAGAGCCTGATGCATGGTTTTAACAGGAGACACAGGTAGTGGCTGTTTCTCATCTTTCAGAGGGGAGCATGTCTGCTCCCCTTCCTGACATAAAATGAGGGGCTGTGGTAGTCAAAGGAACCCAGCCTCAGCTATGAGGGTAAAGCAAATGTCTTCTAGCGACTGAACACTAAGACGCCCAAACACCTTCCATGTGTCTCTACACACACATCCTCCTTCCCCCACCCCAACACATAATTTAAAATGCTAAAAAAGTAACATTAAAATTTTCCTTTTTTTAAGGGGTAATCCAAATTCAGTAAAAGATTTAGATACAAAAGACATTCACATCAGTGTTATATAGAACTCTAGAATGCCAGAAGCAACTTCTAGAACCAATAAGTAGGGATTAATTAAATTGAACAAACTGTACTATAACTATGTGAGCTCAGTCTTCCTAGCCTCAACCTGTGAGCACTGGGATTACAGGCGTGTGGACAAACCCAGCCTTATTAAGAACATTTACTTACACTGATGTGTGTGACAAAGTGAATAAAACCAATCCCAAATTTACAAAAGAAAAAAGAAAAAAAGAAGGGAAGGTGGCTATTGGCCTATTGGCAGGCTAGACCAAAGACACAGAAAACAAAAGCAAACATTGCTATGCCATTCCAGTTCTTTGAAATCCCCAGAGCAGCAACTTCAGCCAGCACACTGCACAATGTACCCCCAGCAGCACAGACAGGGACGAGCCACCTCAAACCTCTGCTTTAATAACCTCTTTTCTTTCAAACATGTACAGTATTTGCTGTACAGCTAGACCTTTACTGTCAGAACACGGGGGGGGGGCACGACAAAGAACACATGTGTGCAGGCAGAGGCAGATGGCTATGAGCACCAGGCCCGCCCAGTCGATATAGTCCTGTTCTACATAGTAAGTTCCAAGCCTGGCAGAGATACACAGTGAGACCCTGTCTCAAAAAAACAAAACAAAAAACATAACACAAGGATGGACAAGGGCAGGAAAGCTTGGAGAGGTCACCTAATGTGCTAGCAGGGAGCTGCAAAATGGGCTCTATCTGAGGTTAGGCCAAATTTGTTGTTTTCAACCACCGATCACAGTGCCTTACTCTTTTATCATCCTTCAACAGCAATCCGGGTGAGAAGCAGACGTCATCTGGTTACAATGACAATTTGCCATGCCCCATGGGATCCTTCAATCTATTGAGACAGGCCCTGCGACTCAGTAACACCTCTCAGGGAAACTAAATACCAACTACAGGAGAAAGGTCACAGGGGAAGGTCACTCACCCGCTTATCCCATATTCGTACGTCACCATCATGGCTGGTGGCAAGGTAGTTGGCGTTTTTTTTATTCCATTTGACCTGGGAGGCACCGGCTGCAGAGAAAACAAAAGCATAGGAGGAAGCCACTGCCCTCAACGTTTTCTGGGGCAGAGTGAAGCATGTCCAGCAAGCTGGATAATGAGCCTGGATGCAGGAAGCAGAGGACCTTTTAGTTTCTATGACTGCACCTGCTCCACCAGTACACATAAAAAGAGTTGCAAATAAGTGAGTTAACACATGGGAAGGAGATCACAGTCACCTATGGAGGAGATAATCTCTAAGGGAAAATCCACAGTCAGTGGGAACACTTAGCTGCTACGGTAGCAGGAATGGAGTAGTATGGTTGGTGGCATAATTGTCACAAAAATCTGACTCCCAGATAACAACAGAAAATCCTCAACTCTCACTCTGACCCCTTCCCACTCTACTTTTTCATTGTTGTTTTTGAGTAACAGTCTTAAGGAAACATTGACTCAAGATTTAGAATTAGCCCCAGTTTGGATAGTACACCACCCCCACACTTTTTTTTTTTTTTTTTAGATAAGACCTCAGTATGTAGCCCTGGCTGGCTCAGAGCTTCTTTTGTAGAACAGGCTGGCCTTGAACTCACAGAGCTATGCCTGCCTCTGTGCATCACCTCACCCAGCCCTACTACACAGCCCTCTTGACTCTCACCCCCCCTATCAGCACAGTTAGTTTAAGCCACTGACTCTGTGCTCTGAGATCAGGATGACATGAATTGGCCTAGAGTTCACCAATGAGCCCCAAGGATCCTCCTGTCTCTGCCTGCCTAGATCTGTGATTATAATCCCACACCACCACACCAGGCTTATTTCACATGAGTTCTAAGTATCAAACTGGGGTGTCATGCTTGGAAGGCAAGCACATTGACAACTGAGCTATCTCTCCAGCCCTCAGAGACCTCACAGACTCTGTGTGTGTGTGTGTGTGTGGGTGTGTGTGTGTGTGTGTGTGTGTGTGTGTGTGTGTGTGTGTGAGACAGAGAGAGAGAGTGAGAGAAACACATAATAAAATATTTGAAGAAGTAATATAATATCCAGATTTTGCTTCAAAATAAGCACAAAGGGAATGAGGGTAAAACAAGATTGGATATATGATGACAATTATTGAAGCTAATGGTGAGAGTAAGACTGCAGATAACTAGGATTAGGGTCAGGGTTAGGACTCAGCAAGCATCTTGGAAGGCTGGACTTAGATTTCCACCCAGCCCTGATGCAGAGCATGGGCTGTGAGAAGTCAGAGTTGTGAGCAGGATGAGTAGGACTGAGGAAGAAAAGCCGGGGTGTACATACTCACCTACAGCTGACAGTGCAACAGTAGGCTTTCTTGTGTCTCTGAAACAGACGAATCAAAAGTCAAATGCCTGTTTCGTTGTAAACCAACATCCAGACAGTGCCGTTCACCCTTCGCTTGCATTCATTCCTTTACTCTCCTCTAGGGGGTCTGGAATTAACATTGTTCTGAGGGACTTTAAAAGCTGTAAAGACAGCTGGGTGGTGGTGGTATGCGTCTTTTCCCAGCAGTCGGGAGTCAGAGGCTGGCAGATCTCTGAGTTTGAGGCCAACCTGGGCTACAGAGTGAGTTCCAGGACAACAAGGGCTACACAGAGAAACCCTGTCTCAAAAAAAAAAAAAAAAAAAAAAAAAAAGGATCAGAATTCCTCGTTATTGTCACCATTCCTAGCCACAACAAGGCAACAGTCACAGCATAATACTACAAGGACTTTCCCAGGGTTTAAAAACTACTATGGGAGCTGGAGGTATACCTTCGTGGTAAAGTACTTACCTAACATGGAAAAGTTACTGAGTTCACTCTCCAGTAGAAAGGAAAAGAAAAAAAAAGAAAGAAAGAAAGAAAGAAAGAAAGAAAGAAAGAAAGAAAGAAAGAAAATGCCAGGCTGAGGCAAGAGGATTGTAGACTAACTTGGGCTAAATACTGAGATATTATTTCAAAAAAACCAAATAAAAGGCCAGGCATGATGGTTCACGCCTGGCTCACACTGGCCATCCCAGCATTCTATAGGCTGAAATAGGAGGGCGCCCACAAGCTGGAGACCAATCAGGGCTAAAGACTGAGACCCTGTCTTAAAAGCAAAACAAAAGTGGGCATAATGGTTCATGTCTGTAATCTCAGTATACATACAGACTTTGAGGCCAGCCTCAACTACGTGAAATCCTGTGTTGGGGGCAGGGATGCAAACGACCCTGAATATTCCCTATAGCTACGAGGCAGAAGCAATTGAGAATGAAAATGTGATATTTTCATCAAATGGAATACTGTTCATCTTAAACAGGAAGAAAGCTGTGACATACATTCAGGTAAAACCTTGAGAACTTAAGCTAAGTGAAATAGCCAGCTATAAAAAGGTAAAAACTGTAAACACTATCTTTTCTTCTAGGAGATAGTTGAGGAGGTCAGATTCATTTAACACTAAGTGGAACTGTTGTGGAATATTACTTTAACTATGTAAAGGTGTGCTACTTTTGTTTAGGCAAAATGTGTTATACTAGCCAGGCTTTGGTGGCGCACACCTTTAATCCCAGCACTCGGGAGGCAGAGGCAGGCGGATCTCTGTGAGTTCGAGGCCAGCCTGGTCTACAAAGGGAGTTCTAGGACAGCCTCCAAAACAATACAGAGAAACCCTATCTCGGAAAAAAAAAAACCAGAAAAAAAAGTGTTATACTTGCTTATGCTGTATTTGTTTAATTATGTAAAGATGTGTTGCTGTTTTAGTTTGCCTGCCTAAGGCACCTGATTGGTCTAATAAAAAGCTGAATGCCCAATAGCTAGGCAATAGAGGGATGGGTGGCAGACAGAGAGAATAAGTAGGAGGAGAACTAGAGGAGTGAACGAGGGAGGAAAAAAAGGGAGATGCCTGGAGCCAGCTAGACACAGTAGGACAAACAGAAGAAAAGAAAGATAAAAAGCCCCAAGTCAAAATGTAGATGAAGAGAAGCAGTTAATTTAAGCTATAAGAGCTAGCAAGGCCAGGTGTTGGTGGCGCACGCCTTTAATCCCAGCACTCGGGAGGCAGAGGCAGGCGCATCTCTGTGAGTTCAAGACCAAGCCTGGTCTACAGAGGCTCCAAAACAATACAGAGAAACCCTGTCTCGAAAAACAACAAACAAACAAACAAACAAAGAGCTAGCAAGAATCAAGCCTAAGCTAAGACCAAGCATTAATAACTAACTAGAAATCTCCCTGTCATGATTTGGGAGCTGGTTGGTGGCCCAAAGAAAGCCTGTTACATGTAACTGCAGTAGGTGAGAGCTGAGTGAAGTTCCCAGTGCTGAGGATCTGGAGACAAGTTACAGAATAATGTAGATGTACTTAGCATGGTTCAGCAGCAGATTCAAAAATGGTTCTGATGACAACTTCTATGCTCTAAGTCATCACGATTTTAGTGAGGAATAATTACCGTGGATACAAAGAAGTACAATTGACTACAAAGTCAGGGGGTAACTTTTTCCACAGAGACATAAGAGATAACCAGGAGGCTCCCTGGGGCTGAGGAGGCTTACTATCTAGAGTTTCTTTTTTTTTTTCTTTTTATTTGGGGGGGGGGCAGGCATTTCAAGACAGGATTTTCTCTGTGGGTTTGGAGGCTGTCCTGGAACTAGCTCTTGTAGACCAGGCTGGTCTCTTGAACCCATGGAGAGAAATTTTCATGCAACCCCGGGGTTCACAGGTTTATAAAACAGGTGTAAAATCAAAGTACCTCAGATTCATTCTGTGTTTGATTTTGTATTCATTTAGGTCACTGAATATTCAGAAATCTTTTCTTGTTGACAAATGTTTTAGCGCTCCCCCTCCCCCATTCAAGTGTGACTTAAATATCTGAAGAATGCCAATCCAGTCTCTCTCTCTCTCTCTCTCTCTCTCTCTCTCTCTCTCTCTCTCTCTCTCTCTCCAATTTCTTTGAGTCAGGGTTTCTCTGTATAGCCCAAGCTGTCCTGCCTCCCAAGTGCTGGGATTAAAGGCGTGCACCACTATGCCCAACTAATTCAGTGTCTTTAAATGACTGTATGTAAATGAAGGGTGCTCCCAAACCCTGCCTCTTAGCTCCCTGAGGACTTTTTATTTGCTGAAGAGCTCTCCTCTTCACTTCTGGATTCCATGCTTCTCCTTAGGTGTTGTCTTTAGACACATAGGCTCTAAGGGCTGGTCTGCAGGTAAGGTGGCCATATTTGATCAGGCCAGACGCACCTTACTGCCTCAGGACACTTTTGCTGCTCTCACTAGTCTGTTCCCCTCCCATCTTTGGCTTGTCATCTGTCTACATTCCCAGCTGGCAGGGTGAAACAACTCAAAGTTACTGCCATGAGGGAGGCAGTGACTTTGCAGCAAGGGGGCCTCTGATACAGTAGTATCTACAGAAGGCCCCCACAGAACAGCCAGCTCTAACTACAGCAAAAGAAGCAGTGTTCCTAGACGAGCCAGACCTCAGCCTGGGAGCTCCTGTAACCTAACTTTGTGAGGTGCAGCCCTGTGAGGAGGCCATTGGCCCCTCTTTGACAGCAGGGGAACAGAAGTCTGACAGAGATCCAGTGAGAGCTAAGCAGATGACTTAGCCACTTCAGCAAACCAGCTCGACTTGCAAACACCAGCATCTGTGATGCTTTGCCACAGGGATTCGCCCGGCCCCGGAGGACCACTTTGCAGAACCCTGATAAGCCTGAAGAGCCAGGGAACTCAGACTTGGGGGGACGGGGGCAGCCATGGGCTGTAACTGTAGTCCCCTGCTTCCCAGGCCCTCAACTGGACACAGCTGAGGAAGGAATTTCCCACCAGAGACTGATGCTTCCCAGAAAGACTAAGCTCTAGAGAGACCCGGGGAGGATGCCCTGCTCTTCGAAGCCTTCCAGATCTGCCTGGAGCTCTTCTCTTACCTCTTACTAGACCTGCTCCCAGATCCTGCTCTCAGATCTGCATCCACAGGAATCAAACGAAGACACTTAGCCTCTAACAGTTTTCAAATGCCCACTAACTAAGCGACGATGCCTCTCTGTTGTTCTTACTTGATATCCCAAATGTAGATGTAGGTGTCCACAGAGCTGGTGACCAGGAGATCTGGCTCAAACACTGCCCAGTCCAAGTCGCTGGCAAAGACAAAATAAACAGAACAGAAAGACAGAGCTTCAATATCTGGCTCCAAAGCTCTAACAAATCCAGTCTCTAGTGGCTTCATACTGTCCTCATGGTGTGCTTCCTAAGACGACTCGGGCCAAGGCACTAAAGTTCTTTGCAGGTGAACAAGAGTTAACTGAAGTTGGAAGGAAATTCAGATCCTGCCACCCAGAATTGCCAGTCATAATCCTGCCTGCTCCCTAAGAAGAAATGGGACATTTCAACCTAACTTGCACAACCAACGGCAGACAACATAGAGCTGCCGTGAGGTTCTGTTGGGCCTGCCCTTTTTCTCAGAAAAGCCTAGCTTTTCCCTCCCCGCGCCCCACTGTTTTTTCAAGACAAGGTTTCTCTGCATAACAGTCCTGGCTATCCTGGCACTCGATCTGTAGACCAGGCTGGCCTTGAACTCTGGGATCCGCCTGCCTCTGCCTCCTGAGTGCTGGGATTAAAGGCGTGCACGACCACATCAGTTCCTTCTGTCTCTTTCTGGGCACGCTTTCCCAAACACTTGTTCTCTAAAGCTCCCCTCCTCTCTGCAGGTAGCTGACCCTCATGCAGGTTTAATTCAGACAGCATGGCTTTTTCTCTTTCTCTTTTCTATCCTCTTCCAGGCTGTGCTGAGATCTATAGCTTACTACCCTGGAGTTCTTCTTTTAACTCTAATAAATTAAATTGTCCTTAAGCTTTGACAACAACAACTAACAAAAACTCCTTCCCTCTCCTAACAAACAAAATGTACAGGAGCCCAACTCTTCCTCTCCTGACTCTCTTCTTCTTCCTACTCTCTGAATAAACAGACAAAACAAAGAGGAAACATACAAAATTATCTCTGAATTATCAACCATAGGAGCCTTGGGTAAACCTTCTTAAGCAGGGGCAAACTTCTTACTTCCTGCCTATTACCCTGAGTCCTAGGAAAGGCAGTCCTGGAGACATTCTGCACACTCAAGTATCTAGCCTTTCCTGTCACTTCCAGGTCACCTTCCCCAGCCCTATGCTCCCTGCTACTACTCTCCAGAAAAAGGAAATAGTGACCCAGAGGAAAGGAAAGCCCCACCTGGGAGGCAAGTATGCGAGGCAGGAGTTCTGCAAGACAACCCGTGGCTGCTGCCTGGTGAATCCTTGTACTCCTGGCCACTAAGGATCCTGAATGGGAAGATTCTGTTGTATAACAACTTCTCCTTCCTGTAGCAATCAGCCCTGACCCTGTACTTCAGACTGAACTGTAGCCAAGTCTTCTTGGGATTCAGGTTATGCTTCCTAAATTTTAACACGCTGTTCTCTAGGGTTTTGCCTTGAGGTTCTCTAGGTTATTTGCCTTGAGGACTGACGCCCTGTTGGCTACTCAGGACGAATAGGACACAGCAGGTCAAGCATGTGACAATGATGGTATCTTCATTTCACTCATTAAAGGATTGTGACAAAGTGAGACAGGACAAGAAGCTGCCCAGGGTCAATGCCTACCTGATTACTCGAGTGTGGCCTTGTAACGTTGTCCCAACTTCCCCACTGCCGTCTTTCCACTTATAAAGATCAACCCGTTGGTTACTCTGAAAAGAAGCACGGATGAGAAGGCGTGAGCAGCACAGCACACACACTGGAATAGAGTTCTCACCTCACTGCTTACGGTAAAGATGGAGCCATATGGAAGCCAACTTGTGTGGCAGAGACTCTACAGGGTAAACAAAACAAACAAGTCCAGTGAGTGCTGTGGAGATAGCTCAGTCAGTAAAGTGGTTGCCACACAAACAAAAGGACCTGAATTCTATGCCAACACCCACATAAAAAGCTGGGTGCAGAATCACTGTGCTGGAAAAGTGGAGAGGAGAGAATCCTGCGGGTTACTGGCCACTCAGTCTAGCCAAATTAGTGAGCTTCACATTCAGTGAGAGACACTGTCTCTAAAAATAAGGTGAAAAATGTCAAGACATCCACCCTGACCTGGCCTCCACAGACATGTATAAACACATGCAATCATGCACACGAGTATGCACGTGCATGCGTGCATGCACACACACACACACACACACACACACACATATCCATATGTACATACACAAATAACGATAATCATAAAGGGCCAGGCATGGAAATCAACAGTTGCTCTAGAGCAGCAGTTCTCAACCTGTGCATTGCAGCCCCTTTGGGAGTCGAATGACCCTTTCACAGGGGTCACCTAAGACCATTGGAAAACACAGACATTTACTTTACAATTCGAAACAGTAGCAAAATTACAGTTATGAAGTAGCAGCAAAAATACTTTTATAGTTGGTGGGGGTGGTGGCCACAACATGAGGATCTGTGTTAAAGGGTTGCAGCATTAGGAAAGTTGAGAAGCATTGCTGTAGAAAAAACGATGATAAAGAATCTGGAGAAAGATGCCAGAAACGACCTAGCCCCAAATCTCAAAAGTGTGACAAGTTTCTCAGAAAAGAAAAAGAAGCTAGATATAAACCTTGGGGAATTCACATATAATAGACACTTGAAATCTGCAGAGGTTAACCAATCTAATGAACTCCAATTAAGAAGAATCCCACCCTTGGAATGGATAGTGTATTTTTTTTTGCGGGGGGGGGGGGTGTTATGAGACAGGGTTTCTCTGTATTGTTTTGGAGGCTGTTAGTCCAGCCCGGCCTCGAACTCACAGAGATCTGCCTGCCTCTGCCTCCCGAGTGCTGGGATTAAAGGCGTGCGCCACCACTGCCCGGCTGTATTTTTGTTTTAATTTGTTTTATTTTTAATTATCTGTATGAGTGGGAGGGGGTATATGCAAGTGAGTGCAAGTGCCCAGACAGACCAAGAAAGGCCAGAGGTTCCCTGGAGCTAGAGTTACAGACAGCCACGAGCCACCCAAGGTGAGTGCCAGGAGCTAAACTCTGAAAGCACTTGCTCTTAACTGCTGAACTATCTGTCCAGCCGATGGAGGAGGTGTTTGATCCCTCTAAAAGCAAAGAAGGCCAGTTCCAGATCATTGCCTTCCTCTCCTTAGAGTACCTTTCTGGTCACCTGCCAAGTAGCCCCTGGTTGGTCATACTGTCACTGAGGAAGGTAACTCACTACACACAGGAATGAAGGTATCTACTTGCTTCCCTTTAAAAATCGGGATTCAGTCCCTAGAAATGAATACAAAGCCTGACACAGATTGAGGGCCAGCAAATTAATTATACATATACATATACATATACATACAAAACCTGCAAGACACTGCCTCTTCTTTCAGAAACAGGCAAGCCTCTCTTTAGATATATTTGTTTTTATTAAATGTGCATGGGTGTTTGCCGTCATGTACATCTGTGTAGCATGTGCATGCTTAGTGCCCATGGAGGCTCGATGTGGACATCAGATCTCCTAGAACTCAAGTCACAGACAGTTATAGTTGTGAGCCACCATGTAGGTACTGGGAATCGAACCCAGGTTCTCTGGAAGATCATCCATCCAATGATCTTAACCACTGAGCCATTTGCCAGCCTCACAAACATCTCTCTTCTCTTTTTTTTTTTTATTTAACTGAGCCATGAAGACTATATTCTCTTCTCTGTACAGGATAAAAACTTGCCAGCCCTCAATGACACATTTAAAAGATGACACTCCTTAAATGAACTCACCGAAGCTGCAAAATAGTGTGCGAAGCTGTCATGAGGATTCCACTGCACAGCTCCAATGTCCCATTTGCTCTGGCGGGAGATTTTGCGGTGACCTTCAAAAGGGGCATCTAGATTGACGATGTACAGGAACCTTCGGCTAGAACGACATTAACATTATAGGAATACAGCAAGAAAACAGCATTCACATTATGATGGAAAAGCACATCCTGAGTTGCTTTTGCAGTTTGCACACAGTGCTCCAAAACCTCTCCGATACACATGACAATTATTTACTCTGAAAGGCATACAAATGACAAGTGTAATCGAAGCTGACGGTTAGCAAAGTAGAACAGCATCCCTGTGAGAGCCACTTCTACATTCGGGCCTCACTCCCCATATGCACTCATGAGACTGTGTCTGCTCCACTCCCAGTCTTTCCAGTGCCCCGGCGAGGATCCAGTTCCAGTTCCTCGCCAATCCCACTGCAGGGTCTACATCTCAACTATGTTTTCTCTACAAAAAGGCTTCCAAATGTTAAGGCTCTTGTCTCAATTCCTCTGCAGATCTGGAAGCTACACCATACCTAGAATATCTTTTTAAGCCCAATATCACCAGACACAGAGCTTTACACTCAATAAATGTGTCGAACACACTTATTACTGGGCAAAAATCCTGCAGAAAAATCTCAAATTCCTCTGCAAATCTACTATTCAGAAACAAAACCAGATCTATCAGGAGAACCAATGACCTAAGAAAAAGGAGTAACAATTAAAATAACATAGTAAGGATGTCACAGTAAGTTTAAAGTGTCAATCAATATAAAGAATCTGAAAAATAAGAATGCTTTTGTTTTTGCCTTTGTTTTTTTTAAGAAAGAAAAAAATGACTGGTCTGCGAATTAACATACATGCAGTAACTGGCACTGATTTTTAATTAGAGAACATGCTAAGCCTCTGGGTATCAATAAGGACAAATAAGCTCAAGAAAAAGATTAACAGTCCCTGTTTGGAAAAAAAACAGAAAATTCTAGAGAGTAAGCGGAGACTCTAAAGAGGGATGATGGTTATGGGAGAATAAGGGTAGCACAGGGAAGACAGAAGTTCACAGATCTCCTGGAACTTCTAAGAAAGTTAATGAAAAACAAAGACCTAGAAGCAAAGGAATCCCCTATTCTTGCAGTAGGAAGGACAGCACCTTCCCATTAGAAGGAAAAACAGTACAGACTACAATATCCATGAGTTGTGCATTACTGGGGAGCTCGGACAGGGTGCAGAACAATGGAGAACAGCAGACAACAGTGAGTACACACGTGTGTTTATCTTCATTCCTCAATCCCCAAAGCCCTACCACAATATAGTTTACAAGAAAAAGAAGGCAGGAAGCTGCGAGGCAGAGAAAACTGGAGAGGAAATGAAGACATATGGACAAATGGCAACTGACAATGAGGAACGGCAGATAATAAGCCCACGTGCCAAACACAGGAAGTGTCTCAGGATCAAGTTGATTTGAGGTACAGGACCTGGTGGCACCTTCTCTAGGCAAAGAGGAGGGGTAGGACTGGAAAGCCAAAGCAGAACAGAACAACAACGCAACAAACCCAAGAATGTCTGAAAGCATATGAACGGCTATTCCAATCATTCTTTACTCTTTTTCTGCCAAGATCTTTTTGTGGCGGGGAGGGGCAGGGAGCATATGCAATTGTGCCCACAACTGCAGGCCAGAAAAAGAGCACCTTTTCTAGCACTCCCTGTCTATTACTTTGAGAGCTCACATTTTAAATAGAAATTCAAGTCTTTGAAAAGTTCTTGAAAATTAAAATAATTATTAAAAATTAAGAAAATCTGCCGGGCGTTGGTGGCACACGCCTTTAATCCCAGCACTCGGGAGGCAGAGGCAGGCGGATCTCTGTGAGTTCCAGACCAGTCTGGTCTACAGAGCGAGTTCCAGGACAGCCTCCAAAGCCACAGAGAAACCCTGTCTCGAAAAACCAAAAAAAAAAAAAAAATAAGAAAATCTAACAGAAGGCTAGAGAGATGGGCCACTAGTTAAGAGTATTGGTGCTCTTGCAGAAGACATGAGAGACATGAGTTCAGTTCCCAGCACCTACACGATGGCTCACAACAGACCATAACTACAGCTTTGGGGAATCTGACGACACCCAGTTAAGGACTCCAAGGGCACCAGGCACATACATGGTGCACATCTATAAATGCAGGAAAACTCATACACATAAACTTTTTCATCTTAAAACCCTACCTACAGCCGGGCGTTAGTGGCACACACCTTTAATCTCAGCACACAGGAGGCAGAGGCAGGAGGATCTCTTTGAGTTTGAAGCCAGCCTGGTCTATGGAGTGAGTTCAGGGACAGGCTCCAAAGCAATACAGAGAAACCCTGTCTCAAAAAAAAAAAAAAGAAAATACTTACTGCTCTTGCAGAGGATCCAGGCTTAGTTCCCAACACCAATATTAGGTGACTCACAACCACCTATAACTCTAGTTCTAGAGTATCAGATGATCTCTGGCTGCTGTAAACACCTACACCCCCGCACATAAATTCATGTAGGCACACACACATACAAGCAAATAACAAAGAAATAAATCTCAAAGGAAAATCTAATAGGAGGACTAGAAGTGATCATAGAAAAACTCTTAGAATGAAAAACAAAAAAAGAAAAGAAAAAGGTCAGAACAAAATCCACATAGGAGAATTAACACTAACTATAGAACAAAGAATAGGAAAAGAGAAAATAGAGGAGAAAATTATCAAGGATATAAGACAGGAAAAACTTCCCAAACTAAAAAACACACTCTTCAGATTGGAAGGGGCCTTCTAATATGCTAAAAAAAAAAAAAAAAAACTAGAATTTAATCAAAATGGTGACTTCATAAGCATATATATTTGTAAATTTATTTGAACTACTCACTTCATATTAGCATAGCCCATAAACTGCACTGCATATATTTTTAAATTCTTTTTTCTTTTTATTGAAAGTATATTCTTTTCTCATACAATATATACTGATTATAGTTTCCCCTCCCTCTACTCCTATCTAGTTCCTCTCCAGTGTTCCTCCCCTCCAGATCCACTCCCTTTTTGTCTCATTAGAAAAGAACAGGCTTCTAAGAGGTAACAACCAGATGTGACAAAATAAAAGATGAAGCAAAAGCTATCATATTGAAGTTGGACACAGCAACCCAACAGGAAGAAAAGTGTCCCAAGAGCAGACACAAGAGTCAGAGAGGCATTCTCACAGTCAGGAGTTACATAAAAATCCTCAGCTAAAGCCGGGTGGTGGTGGCACAAGCCTTTAATCCCAGTACTCGGGAGGCAGAGGCAGGAGGATCTCTGTGAGTTCGAGGCCAGCCTGGTCTACAGAGCAAGTTCCAGTTCCAGGACAGGCTCCAAAACAATATAGAGAAACCCTGTCTTGAAAAACAAAACAAGACAAAACAAAAAAAACAAAACAAAAAACAAAAAAATCCTCAGCTAAAAGTTATAAGACATATGCAGAGGACCTGGTGCAGACCCCTCTAGGCCCTGTGCTTGCTGCTTAAGTCATGTTTAGCTGATTTAGAGGGCCTTTTATACGAAAATGAAATGATCCCTTCAGATTTGAGTTGGAAAGTAATATAGGCATGTACATGCTGAAGAACACAATAAGGCATTAGCACATGTACAACTTCCAGTCATATAATTCCAATCTCTAGAGCATTAAGGATGGCACTCTTCAAACCAGTGAATGTGGGGAAATCAACATTCAGAGTGCCAAAGAGTATCTTATGGGCCATTAGTATTGTTACATGAAACAGTATTTCAACCCCTCTATTTACTTGGATAAAACAATATCGACTGGGGAAATAGCTTAGGGGGTAAAGTGTTTGCTGTGTGATTGTGAGGACCCAAGTATGATCCCCAGAACCCATGTAAAAAGGCTGGGCATGGTGCAGTCACTGTAATTTCCATGCAAGAGGGGGGACAGCTAGGAGCTTGCTGCCCAGCCAGCCTTGTGCACTCTGTGAGTTCCAGCCCATCAAGAATCCTGAGGACCATGCCTGATGATGACACCTGAGGTTGTTCTACACACACACACACACACACACACACACACACACACACACACACACACACACACACTCAAACCTCAACAATGAAATGTGGAGGGGACAGGAGGTCCTCTGAGTGCCCAGACACAGGTAAAAGCAATTGTAGTGAAAACTTCACAAATTTAAAGATAAAGATAGGATCTTAAAGGTTTTGATGAGACAAATCCAACATATATGAAGAATCTAGAATTCCTACACAACTGTGACTCAGGAGGCTGAAGCAAAAGAATTACAAGTTCAAAGCCAACCTGCACAAACTTAGCAAGGCACTGTAAGAAAAGCTTAAAGAAGCTAGATGGGGTGGGGATGTATGGGAATGCAGTTCAATAGCAGAGTACTTGGTTGGCCTGTGTGAGGCCTTGGGTTCAACAGATACTTCAGGAGGTGGGACTCAAAGAACCCCAAATATCAACTTAACCCTTAACAAGTGTTACACAAGTCCACTGGGAAGTAGAGGAATATCAGACAGGTGACAATCTGTGAGCAACAGAGCACCTGGTAAAAGTGCCAGACCCTCATGTCTGATTATAAGAAGTCAACTTACCATGTCAAAGATGAATACAGCCAGATCTAGCAGTGTATTTGGAAAATGGAGACAATCAAAAGGAAGTGGTAAAAGATAGTCAAGACAGTGCTCCTGGCCAACAGATCAAAGATGGAAAAGCTGAGTGAGGCAGACCTGCTGCTCCACAACCACAGCTTTGCAGCACTACTCAATTCTAAACCATAAATCATGCATACATTTCCTCAAGAACACAATACTGGCCAGGAGTGGTGGCGCAGGCTTTAATCCCCACACTCAGGAGGCAGAGGCAGTCAGATATCAGCGTTTGACGACAGCCTCATCTACAGAACGGGCTCCAGGACAGCCAGAGTTACACAGAGAAACCCTGCCTTGGAAAAAAGGAAATTAATTAATTAAAAAAGAATACAATTCTGCAAAGAATAAGTAGACAATGATGCCATGCACTCCAAACCACTGACCTGTATAATCTGAGGAAGTGAACTGTAAGCTGTGTTGATTATATCTTAATTAAGCTGTTTTCTAAGAATGCTTATTTTATTTTATTGTTTTGGTTTGGTTTTTGGTTTTTGGAGACAGAGTTACTCTGTGTGTAGCACCTCCTGTCTTGGGAACTCACTCTGTAGACCAGGCTGGCCTCAAACTCAGAGAACCACCTGACTCTGCCTCCTCAATGCTGCAATTAAAGGCGTGCGCCACCAACGCCCTGCCCCTTCCTTTTTTTTTTAAGAACCTATTTTATATTTAATTTTGTGTATATGTGTGAATGTGCAGGGGATTTTCAAAGAGGCTAAAGGAGGGCACTTAATTCCCTGAAGCTGGAGTTACAGGCAGCTGTGAGCTATCTGATGTGGGTGTGTTGTGAACCAGCTTGGGTCTGCTTCGAGAACAGTATATAATCCTAATGCTGAGCTATCTCTCCACAGCCCTATCTGTTTTTATTTTTATTTTTTAGGTAGGGTCTCTCAATGAGCATGGGGCTAGTAGGTTCATCGAGATTGCCTGGCCAATGAGATTCGGGTATCCCTCTGTCTCCACTTCCCCAGTGCTAGGACTATTGGCATGGGCCATGCTCCATGTTCTCTATGGGTCCTGGGGATCAAGCACAGTCGTCATACTTGTATGGCAAACATTTTTACTAAGACAGCTCCCCAGTCCTAATTCTGGTTTGTTTTGTTTGGTCCTTTTTTTTTTTAACTGATCAAGAAATTAGATGATATAAATATCAGCATTTCCATCCAGGCAGTGGCAGCACACACCGTTAATCCTAGCACTTGGGAGACAGGCAGGTGGAGCTCTGTGAGTTCAAGCCTAGCTTGAATTCCAGGACTCAGTCTCAAAAAGTAAGCAAATAACCAATGAAATTACTGAAAATAAAGCTAAATTTGAGAGGGAAGGGCAATGAGTAACATGGAAGGAATGGGGCCTCTGCCCATTGACTGTATTCTGGTTCAACACTAGGGTTATTAGCAAAGGCAGAACCTAACAATTTTTGCATGAGAACACCATGTAGTTCAATTCCTTCTTGGTGGAAGTGAATTGCTTCTTGAGGACTGGTGAGATGACTCAGTGGGTAAAAGCATTTGCCACAAAAACCTGATAGCCTGAATTTGATCCCCAGATCTTAGGGTGGAAGACAAGAATTGGTTCCCCAAAGTTGTCTTCTCACCTCCACAAGTGCACCATGGCATATGTGTGCCTGCACACATGTATGCACATGCACACACACATATACATATAGAAATAATAAATCTTTTTTTAAAATTTCTTTCAGGAGAAAACCAAAGCTCACTGTACCATCAAACTAGAAGCCAGGTCCCCTCAATCCTCCTGACTGCCTTTTTGACCATACTAGAGTAATTCCTTCTAAAGACAAGAAAACTGCAATCTCAAGGCCAAACTACTAACCACTAAAGTATGAGTTGAGAAAAAACAAAAACCTGCAAAGAATTCCTTCAAGTGCCCTTGTGATCCTTAGGACCTGAACACTAAACCCTCTCATTGTCCTCCAACTTAAGGATATTTTCCAATTTCCCAGAAACTTACAATATGCTCCCCAGAACTCGTGGAAAACAAACTCCGAAGGCTCACTTACCCAGAAAGTACTGCATGCTGCCCAAGACAGTCCACAGACATGGCAGTTGCCTACGAGAAAGAACAGTTTCAGTTCTGCCAGCAAACAGCCAGGTGAGAAGACACACCTACATTTGGCCCCGCCTCCTCTCAGGCAGTCGTCTGTCGTCCCACCCCACCCCACCCCCAACAACAATCAGCTATCAGGTATTAGTTCTCTGCATCGGACACTTTCGAGTGGTTCCCAACCTTCCCAATGCTGTGCCCCTTTAATACAGTTCCTCTTGTAGCGGTGGCCCCAACCATAAAATTGTTTTCATTACTGCTTCATAACTATAATTTTGCTGCTATTATGAATCGTATTGTAAATATTTTTGGAGATGGAGGTTCATCAAAAGGGTTGCTTTAAGCCCTTTTAGTCCCCACCTAAATCTCACATTCACTTTCACAACATGACAGCTTCTATTTCTCACACACACACACACACACACACACACACACACACACACACACACCAGGACTGTACACAACCATGGCAGTCCTAGAGCCCTCAGAGAATGTGACTACCACAGAGCAAGAAACAGCTACTAAACAGAGTCTCTCCCAAGAAAAACCTAACCTGGGACACTGCTACCTATATACTCACAAAATACACTCATTCCAGAGCACATGGAACCTTCCTATTATGGCATATTATTCAAACACCTTACCTGCTGAATCCAAGGTTTCATTCTTAATATTTTAGCTACTTTTTATTATACAGGATTATATAAGGCCATTCCATGCGAGTTCATAATGTACTTTGAGCATATTTCACACATAACCCTGTACCCACTTCCCCAAGGTAAGCATTCTTGTTACTAATACATCCTGTTCACATTCAGTCTGAAGCCCCCCCACTTCCTAGTGAGCACAATCATGATTCAATACCCCATCTCCAAAAGACTGCACCAAGTCTAACGACAGTGAGGCATGTGGCCAACTCGAATCCTCACAGTTACAGCCTTACATTGTCATATGTGCATCATCTACTTGGTCACTAAATACTCCAAGTTCTTTCTAAGACAGCATGTTGGAAGAATTCACTTCACACATGCTACCATAATCATAAACTGTAAATGGTAAACACTAATCCCTCCCCCTCATTCTCTCTGGCTTTACCAATGGTTTTCTCACGCTTATCTACCTCTTAAAAAAACATGCTACCCAGTCGGGCAGGGCAGTCATGGTGAATGCCTTTAATCCCCCCTGAGCAGAAAGAAGCCAGGCAAGCTTGATTGCCATGACATCTCTAGAACTCTGCTGTGTGTTTTATGGATTAATGCTATAAAGGGGACAAGATGGTTTTTCCAAAAGGGGACAGAGTCTTCTTAGAGTCTGGTGGCAGAATCCTACCACAGTCCCAAGATTCTGAGCTCCTGATGCATACTGCTTTTCCCCTGCTGTGCAAGGCTAATAAAACACTACTCCAGTTATAGCTGCCAATGGGTTACTGATATGAGCAAGGGGTCAAATCAGCTGGCCTTAAGATAAAGAAATTTGAAGACCCCAAGTATCTATCAGGGGATGAATGGAAGATAAAGAAAATATGGTTGGCAAACAAAGGATTATTATTCAGCCTTTAAAAGCATGGAAATGAAACAGGCTTTTCTGTAGCTTTGGAGACTGTCCTGGAACTCACTCTGTAGATCAGGGTGGCCTCGAACTCACAGAGATCTGTGTGCCTCTGCCTCCTGAGTGCTGGGATTAAAGGCGTGGGCCACCACTGCCCGGCCTCACAAATGACTCCTAGAAGATTATACCAAGTCAGGGCTGGGCAGATGTCTCAGCAGTTAAGAGTACTGGCTGTTCTCCCAAAGGATCCAGGTTCATTCCCCAGCACCCACATGACAGCTCTCTATCTGTAACTCCAGTTCCAGGGGATCTGACACCCTCATAAATGCAGGCAAAAACACCAATGCACGTGAAATAAAAATAAAAAGACTATACCAAGTGCCAAGTGAAACACACCAAATGAGACCAGTATAAGAAAAATGTCCCCATAGGCTCATGTATTTAAACACAACGGCCCCAGCTGTGGAGCTGCTTGTGAAGGTTATGGAACCTTTAGGGGGTGGAACCTTGCTGGAGGAAGCAAGTCACTGGGAGCAGGCCTTATAGCCTCACCCCACTTCTTATTCTGTGTGTGGAGATGTGACTGCTCAGTTCCTGTCTGGCCCTCATGCCTCCCCTGCTATTATGGACTCTCCCTCAGGAACCATAAGCCAAAATAAACCCTTTCTAGCTTAAGTTGCCTTTGGCTATGGTATTATATTACAGCAGCAACAACCCAAAAAAGTTAGTAATACAGAAGTCAAGCTCTTAGAAAGAGAATGTGGAGGTCAACAAGGTTGGGGGCGGGATTATGTTTAATGGGATGATGATTAGGAAGGGCAGGCAACAGTTGAGAAACCTGTCACACTGGCCATTTAACCTGGTCTGGAAATTAGAAGAGAGGGGGATTCCTATGCCACCTATGAAAGTGGAAGGGGTCACACAGGGCAAGGACCTGATCTCTGGGGGCTGAGAGTAACCCCCATCATGTTCTTACATGCAGTAAAGAACAGGAACTTCTGACCTAGACCCCTAGATACTGAATACCCCTAGTGGATACTGAAAACACCTGAACGAGCTTGGAAGTGGATTCCTCCTAAGTGAAGCCTCCAGGTGAAAACACAGCTCACAGCTGCCCTGACTTTGGCAGCAAGACACTGAACAAAGAAACCAGCCATGCAGTACACAGTAATAGAATACTAATAAAATATGATCTGGCAACAGTCCAAAGATACCATGCCTTTTGTCTCAGGAGTTCTACCTCTCGCATCTACCCCAAATACAGCAATTTTCTGAACAGAGCTGTTTACTTACAACTACAGTACACATCTAGACAATGGAATATTCTAGTAGCATTTTAAATAACATGAAAATGCATCAAAACTACAAATATATAGCCGGGCGTTGATGGCACATGCCTTTAATCCCAGCACTCAGGAGGCAGAGGCAGGAGGATCTCTGTGAGTTCGAGGCCACCCTGGTCTACAGAGCGAGTAGACAGGTTCCAGGACAGGTTCCAAAGCAATACAGAGAAACCATGTCTCAAAAAGCAAAAAAAGACAACTATATCATAAATCACCATATTAAGGTATCTTTTACACATTTATTTATTTACTAGGTGTGGAGGGTGTTGTAATCCAGGTAAACATAGCCCTGCCTCTCACCCACCTGTGCATGTACCCTGACTCTTTTTTTTTAAGATTTAATTATTATGTACACAGTGTTCTGTCTGCAGGCCAGAAGAGGAACCCAGATCTCATTACAGATGGTTGTGAGCCACCATGTGATTTCTGGGACTTGAACTCAGGACCTCTGGAAATGCAGTCAGTGCTCTTAACCTCTGAGCCATCTCTTCAGGTCCATACCCCAGCTCTTTAAACGAAAAGTTCCACCCACTTCCGTTCTCTTTCCAGGCTGCTCCTCCTGTGTGTTTATTTGGGACTGATGCGGCTCTAGAACCAGGCTTCTCTCAAAGAAAAAGCTTCTCTTAACACACACACACACACACACACACACACACACACACACACACACACACACACACACACACGGCATGCATGTACCCTCTGTTAGGAATAAAGTGCGTGGGTGGGACCGCAGGTGGTAGTCCCGGCCCCGCGGTCCTGGTCCCGAGACGCACCGCGTGATGGACGGCAGGCAGATGGGAAACAGACCGGTAGACGTGACTCATATTGAAAGTTTTATTCAGGGGGAGGTAAGAAAATAAGGGAAGAAAAGAGGTAAAGAACACAGATAGGACAAAGAGAAGAGGGAAGGGAAAAAGACAGGAAAAGCTCTATTGGCCCCTTCAGAGGAGCTGTTGGCCTTGCTTGTTTCTTACTGGCTAGCTCTGCTTTAAGTAATTACCCCATAATTGTTAATCTAAGTATGTCTCTTACCAGAGAATAGTTCCGGGCTTCCTACCCCATAGCGTCACATGTAGACTCTCTTGTGTTTCTCCTTCCCAGAATCCTCCTAGACTCCTAGTCCCACCTATCTAGATTCCTATTGGCTCAACAGTGCTTTATTGACAAAAGACTTCCCCAACATCTCCTCTTTTCTGTTTAAACAAAAAGAAAGGTCTTAACTTTAACATAGTCAAATTGTATATGACAGAACAGTTATCAAGTAAGAACATAGTTACAATATTTTAGCAAGCTGGGCATGGTGATGCATATCTGTAATCCTAACACTTAGCTTCCTGCAATAGGAGGACCACAAATTCAAAGCCAGCATGAGCTATATATAGTTAAAACACAAAAACAAACAAAGCCAAAACCACCTAGCAAAGAAATTAGGACGGGATCTGAATCAATGATGTTCCTGGGATTTCACTTAAGTTTGGGCATGCCTTCCTAGGCTCATCCTGCTCAGCTGACTTGCTCCCACCCTCTGCACTGGGGCAGTTGTTAGTCACTTCTTACCGGGTAAAGTCAGGAGTCTGCCACCAGCTGTGCTCCCTGTAATCTCAAAGCTGCTGATGAAGCTAAATCTGGTTTGCTTTGCAGAGTCAGCAGGTTTGAATGCATCCTCAGTGTAGAGTTAAAGACCACCTGGGAGCTTCCTATATTCCATCTCGTACCTCTGCCTTCCAAACCCTGTCCCAATTTCCCAGCCATTCTAAATTCTCCAAAATGAATTCCTTCCAGCCCTCAAAACTCAAGTCTGTCTCTTCCTCTCTCACCTCAGGACCACCTTTACACCTATTGCTTCAGCCTGGAATACACTTCTGTCCAGTGTGTGTGTGTGTGTGTGTGTGTGTGTGTGTGTGTGTGTGTGTGTGTGACACTTCTGTCCAGTGTGTGTGTGTGTGTGTGTGTGTGTGTGTGTGTGCACGTGCGTTGTGTGTGCTTGTATGTGGTAGTATGGTAGGTGCAATGTACATGCATGTTCCTGAGTATGGAAGCCAGAGGTCTACATGAAGTGTCTTCCTCAACTGCTTCCTACATTTATTTATGTGCAGTTTCTCACTGAACTTA